TGATCAGAGTCTAGAAAAGTACTCAGGAAGCTTAGGGAGGGTTGCACTCATTCACGCCAGCGTTAGTTGATCGCAATGTGTCACTGAGTGAGGTGCAGAGTCAGGAGGTTAAGTGAGACATCGACAATGACTGTTTCAGTAGTTAGAGCAAGCCAGAAACAAGTTATACTCTGAGTAAAGTTGTAATAAATGGCCAATACCATCTGAAATGTGAACAAAAAGTCCTCCTTGACAAATCAAATGACTGTGTCTGTACCTAGATTCAAGAACTGTGTATCCAAGTCTTTAGCTGGTGCTACAATATCTGTCGAATACACTTCCTAAAGAACAGTTGATTGGTGATTAAACGTATTCTTTATCGTATACAGGCTGCAATCTATTTGAGTGCAGTCAGCGATAACGAAAATACATCATTTCCCACACCGTTTTCTCACATTGATGGGGCTTTCTAATCTAGAAATACATAATGAAATGTTACTAGGAATTCAACCATTTTGCGCTGCCTCAACTCTAGTGTTTACTACAATATCAACACCAACAGAACCACAAGCCTTAAATAGGACTCTCGAATAGACAACTGACATCGATGTTGAAACATCGCATAGGCATAGCTAACCCTATCTATTGTTCGATCTACATTAGTGTGCGAACATTAAAGGAGGCCATTTTGAATGGCATACATAGTTTCAGGAAGGCTAGTGCAGGATTCGTATTCTATGCTAACGTGTGAGCTACTTATGCGGACCGAAGTAAGTAGTATGTAGCAGGAATTAGAACGCTTACCAGCAGATGATCGAGATAAAGAGATGAGTAAAGAAAACAGACAGTAATCGGAGTAACAACAGATTTAGAAGAACGATTGATTATGTAAAAGACTACTCAAGAAAGATGTGCAAATGATGTATTTGATGCATGATTTTCATCTTTTACAAAGGCACTATGTAGTTTTGCATAAAAAGATTAATTGGTTCACTGTACCTGAGATTTTTTTCACTACAGTAGCATCCAACTGTCAACCAGATTACTTACTTACTTACGCCTGTTACTCCGAATGGAGCATAGGCCGCCGACCAGCATTCTCCGACCCACTCTGTCCTGGGCCTTCTTTTCTAGTTCCATCCAATTCTTGTTCATTTTTCTCTTGTCTACCTCCATTTCTCAACGTAATGTGTTCTTTGGTCTTCCTCTCCTCCTTCGACCTTGAGGATTCCATGTGAGGGCTTGTCTTGTGACGCAGTTAGGTGCTTTCCTCAACGTATGTCCTATCCACTTCCAGCGCTTCTTCCTGATTTCTTCCTCCACTGGGATCTGATTTGTTCTCTCCCACAGTCGGTTGTTGCTAATAGTGTCCGGCCAACGGATCTGAAGTATTTTGCGTAGACAACTGTTAATAAACACCTGTATCTTTTGGACGATGGATTTCGTAGTTTTCCAAGTTTCCACCCCATACAGTAGAACTGTCTTCACATTTGTATTGAAAATTCTGACTTTGGTGTTGGTTGCTAATTGTTTTGAGTCCCAGATATTCTTCAGTTGTAAATATGCTGCTCTTGCTTTGCCAATCCGTGCCTTCACATCTGCATCAGATCCACCGTGTTCATCGATGATACTGCCCAAATATGTAAAGGTTTTTACATCTTCCAAAGCTTCTCCGTCAATTGTGATTGGGTTGGTGCATGCTGTGTTGTATCGAAGAATCTTGCTTTTCCTTTAGTGTATATTGAGACCTATTGCTGCTGAGGCTGCAGCTACACTGGTTGTCTTCTCCTGCATTTGTTGTTGCGTATGCGATAGAAGAGCCAGATCATCTGCGAAGTCTAGATCATCCAATTGCATCCTAGATGTCCACTGTATCCCGTGCTTCCCTTCAGATGTTGATGTCTTCATGATCCAGTCGATCACCAGGAGAAAGAAAAAGGGTGAGAGTAAGCAACCTTGCCTAACACCAGTCTTTACTTCGAACGACTTTGTCAACTGTCCTCCATGCACGATTTTGCAGTTTAATCCATCATAGGAATTCTGTATGATATTGACTATCTTCTGAGGCACGCCGTAGTGTCGAAGAAGCTTCCATAGGGTTGTTCTGTCCACGCTATCAAATGCTTTTTCGTAGTCGATGAAGTTGATATAGAGTGATGAATTCCATTCAATTGATTGTTCCACAATGATCCGTAGAGTTGCGATTTGGTCTGTGCACGATCTATCCTTACGGAATCCTGCCTTGGCATTTAGGTCTCCCATCAGAATAGTCAGGTCTTTTGTTGGGAACTTCTCGACGATTGACTGCAGCCTATCGTAGAATTGATCTTTAGCATCTTCATTGTATTCGTTGGTAGGCGCATAGCATTGGATGACGTTCATTGTAATGCCCGTTTTCTTTGTTTTGAAGGAGGCTTTGATGATCCTTGGTCCATGAGATTCCCATCCTATAAGTGCATTTTGTGCTTGTTTGGACAGCATCAATGCAATTCCTTGTGTATGTGGAGCATTTTCTTGTTCATGTCCGGAGTATAACAGCAGCTCCTCTGAAGCTAGTCATTGTTGTCCAACTTGCGTCCAATGTGTTTCACTGATCCCAAGCACCTCTTAATTGTATCTCCTCATTTCTGCAGCAATTTGGAAAACTCTCCCAGTCTCCCACATTGTGCGAGCATTCCATGTACCTAAGTAAATGGTTGCTCTGGTTGTCAGAAGGGGCATCGGCCTCGTGACTTCCGAAGAAACTCGGCTTTCATCATGAGGCGTCATAATTCTTCTAAACGAAGACCTCCTTACTCCCAGGGCAGAGTTTAAATGGTTTGAATAATTTTTTCTGGTTAGCGTTTTTTTAGTGAGTTAGTTTTCTACGGGATGGGGTCGCTAATCCCATGCCCAACCCTCCTCCTTTATCCGGGCTTGGGACCGGCAGTAGCCCCTGGAAAGGGACTCCAGATAGTCACTTAAAATCGTTTAGGTATGATGAGATATTCACGATAGATAAGATGTATGAGTGGAAGAATAAAGGAATATTCAAAATGGGAATAAAAAAATAGATAGGTGACACAGTTTATGATAAAAAACGAATATTAACATGTAGTTCTAAGTATGGTTTGCGAGACTGGGAGTTAAAGCGTGAATAGTTTTTATAACTGTAGTCATCATTTAGATTTGTGTGGGCTAGGTTACATTCCGGGTGCCTGTGCCTATGTCCTATGGTCCTACTACCTCAGACTTTGACTCAGAGGGTCAATCCACTTATGCTATGCAGTCCTATGGCAACCGGTGACCAAGAGTAGGTGCACGCGCCATTTGTTCCCTGGAGAACATGTACACCCTTGGTTTGGAATCACGGTTTTCCGTCTCCCCTAGGTGGATCTTCCGTACCCATAGACCGTGTTTAAGTGCGGGACATTCGCTATTCGTCCGTAAACAACACCTCGTCACGAGAAAACAGTAAGTATTTGATGGTGTAGTTTAGAAGGTAGTAAAGCATAGCCAAATGACACAGTCCAAGGAGGATAGTGACTAGAGTTGGCTCGTACACTATACTACGCATTGAATTTACACTCGATATTTCCTCTGCTTTTCATCTAATCGGATTAATTCAAAGACTACAAAAGTAATAAGTTTCAAGTAACACTGAATAGTTTGTTTTATATTACTAGAGCTAGTGTTTGGTTGTGGGGGAAATACAAGTTATGTTCTTAGTTGTTGTTTATAATGATGTAGCAAATAGTTTAGATGCAGACGATAAATGGAATGTACTTTTTTTAAAGCAAAGAATTTGTCAGGATTTAAATCTAAATCCAGATATTTATGGTCTATCACACAAGAAATCTCGTGGCTATGAATTAATGCATGAAGATTACAAATTACTAGATTATAATCTTACACCTAACTGCTATCTGTATCTCCATGAGCGCCATCCAAAAAGACATTATTTTGTTTTTTGTTATCCATGTGAATCTATTCGTCCTGCGTTGATGACTTTTAGTTGTTCACTTTGCCAATCGGCATTTATTCCTGTTTGTCAGGACATTGACTCAAAGATCTGTAGGGGAAGGTGCTCTTCTAATGACTGTGATTCAGCAGAAGCAAAGATAAATTTTTCATGCACTTTTATGTCCTCTCATAGTCCAACGGTTTTCTTGAAGCATATAAGACAAAATAGTACGGAGATATGTTGTGCTGCATGTACGTCTTCGGAAATAGAGATTATAATATGTCTTTGCGAGGAGGAAGGACATTCTCTTTGCCTTGAATGTTTCAAAAAGTACACAGAAGAGTATTTTTACTCTGGAATGTTCCGTAACATTGACAACGTTGGGTACACTATCAGTTGTCCTGCTGGATGTCCCAATTCATTTGTTATGGATCCTCATCATTTCCGAATTCTGGGTTCGGAATTTTATTCACGTTACAAAGAGCAGTCGGCTAAACGGTACTTGCTTTCTAAAGGCTCCACATTTTGCCCGTCATGTGGAGTAGATTGGCAAATCACGGACTCGCGAGGTAATATAAAGTCTCATGGCATGTGGCATCGTTGTCTCCCACCTGCTGGTTGTGGGTCACTATTTTGTTCTTCATGTGGTTGGAGCTGTAGCCAATTAGATCCTGAATGCTCATATAATGTATCACTGGAGTGTTTCTGTGAAGAAAAACACGATTCTTCTAGGAACGCATTCTCTGTGAATTCCAACTCTGTGTGGAAGTCATTAAAATTAAGAGTAGATGATGCAGAAAGTCGCAAATGTATCAATGAAACATGTCGTCCTTGCCCGGGTTGCAAGTCTCCTACTCAAAAGCATGGTGGTTGTAATCATATTCACTGCTCAATATGTGGACTTGACTGGTGTTGGATTTGCTGTAACACGTGGACTGCCGAATGCTCATCTTTGCACTTGTTGTAATTTAATTTTTTTTTCAGATTTCTAATTTTAAATAAAGATTTCTTGCGTAGATTCCAGTTTTCAAAATTTTCGATCTTTATTTCTGTAATAGTAGAAATTTTTTTACAGAACATGTCTGCCGGAGCTATTCGTGCCCCACTTGTTATCCCCCTGAGGAGCCCTGATTTAGGCTTGTTCAAATCACATTTGGATACAAATACATATCTGGATCTTACTTGTGATACGCCAGATGTAGCTATTTATTTTACAATTAATGGGAATAGACCAACGGTCGCAAAAAGTAGGAAGGAACTGCAAAATAGTGGGACCTATAGATTCCAAAAGCCTTTTACTTTACCGCCTGGATGTCATACAGTACGAGCAGTAGCTGTTTCTCTGTAAGTTTTTAAAAGCTGTTTTGTAGATTAATTTATCTTTACATCAAAGAAATTAGATAGTCTTTCCGTATCAAACAATTTTTCTTTTGAAGGCGGTTTTCATCACAAATCAGTCATTAAAAAAATGTTTTGCATCTTCATTTGGAACTACTATAGTATGTGATTAAAACCGTACTTTGTATCGAATCTTTAAACATTGGAACTCGCGGAACACGCGTTATTGATCAGTTACTTAACTGAGTTCTAATGGTTCACATATTCCAACCGTAGTCAGCTCACGATGTGTTGCTATTCCATTAATTTTCGTTACTAATTATATTTGGAGATTAATGAAATCGATATATCGCTATGATATAAACGCACATCCAAGAAGTATAGCACACACAACATCCAAAACACTTCATCTGCTTTGTAACGCATCCAGTTGATCATGGCTAGTAATAAAAAATACTTGTATATATACTTTATCTCTGTTTTTATTGAGGAATGTAACGTTTTCGTTCATTTACTTGATTATTTACTCCTAATTACACTCAAATATATATATATATATATATATATATATATATATATATATATCGAAAGAGAAACTCGACTCGATTGGTTTCAGTGGCACATATCTATCCATAATTTATTTCCATCTTAATCTGAACATAGTATTTTTGTACCTGTGATTGTTTAGTTCCATTTGATTTTTGTCTAATCCCGCATTGCTGTCGGCATTTTAGTTATCATCACTTGTCGACTTCTCTCTGTTTATATAGTGTGGTTCCATAGGTGGATACAAACTTTTACATCGTTTGTGTCTGTGACAAAGTGTTGGGCAAGCCGTGTTTAACTTAAAAAGGTATCACTCTCATTACTAAATTCCCAACCGACACAGAAGGATTGATGGTTCTATGGAATAAAAATTAATGTAAACGCTAACAGCCAAACTGACAAGCTTTAATAATATCAAAAATCAAGCTTACAAATAGTTCTCAGTGAAAATAAGTTCCATCTTATATAACGAAATCTCTGTGGATATTAGTTGTATCTATAACTTGCGCTCATAAATTAATATCATTCAGTACCCCATTAGTTCTAGCATTCGTATTTGTTTTCAATGCATGACACTGTATGATTTGGTACTATGCTACCTTCTGTGTTGATTACTCTAGATTTTTTAAAAAATGAGTTGAGTAGTTCACTTTTGGGAAATTAACCACGTATTCACTTGACCTTGTTGGATACTCGCTTTTAATTTTAATCGTTTCCATATGTGAGCGTACTTGTGTGCACGTGTTCATCATATGCCTAGCTCAATTTTTTTCCGATTATAATTATTGAGTCATGTCTCACAAAATTGAGTAAGCGAACTCATATTCTCCACATCTTACCTTGGTGTCTGTCTGAGAAAACCTGAACCTGAAATAAGTTAGCTCGACCTAATTCATCTTTAGCTTTTTATTAGTGCCGCCGTCCAAACGGGTTTAGCCTAAGTACAATACATGAAATCAAAGGAGAATTTATGTCCATTTTTCATTCATTGTTCGTTCGTTAGCATTATCATCCCATAATAATGAAGTTAGATAAATGGCCAGTAATAGCTCCTAGGTAATTTAAATCGTCCTGTGAAATACTCATTCTGTATCCATAGTCTGTCCCAGAAGCTGATGATTAACTCTTTTCTATATGTCCTTGTTTTCGGCTTCTGGAATCCAATTTAAAACTCATCCATTTTTTTATTATTCCGTATGCTTAATGTATTTTCTAGCTCAACTAGCATCAGTATTGATAGGTAGGTCTTTCTAAAAAGAGCCACAAGTTAGGTCAAGTCAATTATTTAGTTCTATATGGTTTTTATTCACCTTCCGACCAATATTGCTTTATAACAAACACTTTTCTAGCTTGTAACAAGTTATTATCAAGCGTTTAGAGTTTATAATAATTTTATTAACTCTTCATCGTTTCTTCAAACTAAACTTTTTTTGATAATGTAATAAGAAGACGAAGATTATCAGAGCTATGTGATATATCTAATATATCACATAGCTCTAATAATCTTCGTCTTCTTGTTACATTACCCAAATTTATCAAAGGGACAAATTGCTTTAAACTTGTTTCTGTTGTTAATATATTAGGGATAATGGTAATGAAAGCAGTGTAGTTACAAAAACATTCGATGTGGTCAAAGTCAAGAGTTTTCATGTTAGTGATAAAAATGACTTCGGAGATGATTATGGTTTTCTCAATGAACTAAAGCTAATCGATTCCAAACGTCGAAGACAATTGGTAATGATGTCATTTTTTACTTAATTATTCGTATTATGTTAATGTAATAGATACTGTGTTATTTTTTAAATTTTGTAAACTTACTGACATAGTATTTTTATCTTCCTAGTAGAAATCGTCTCTTTATGTTTAGTTGGCATTTATTTTCATTTCAGTAAAGGTTGATAGTAGCTAGCAGTGGAATGCAGGGATTAACAACGATATTGGGGTATGAGCTCATTCAACTAATGAGTATCCATTGGGAAGAAACTCCTAAAAGTGTCGACGGATTCAGATTGGTTCGGAAGAGATCACTCAGTTTCCTCGTTTCATTCTTTCGACGAACGCGCAGAGTTATCTTGTTACCATTTTTTCTCATAACGTTACCCTTCTTTTGAAAGGTTTTTTTCAGTAAAATTTTTACTTTGAAATGAGATAGCGCACAATGGTAATATTAAGGTAAATAAATACCTGAGTCTCTCCGTCAATAGACTTTTTGGTTGCTTACTAACTAAAGAATGAAAAAACAAACATTTCTACAACGTTTATGTTCAACGAACATCACAACGCTATGAAGTGTTTTTTCCTCTTAAACTTCTGTAAATAGGAGAAAATCACACAAAGTTTGTTTGTCCGTTCGAGCAGTTGACAAAGTAATTTTGAAACCTGCTATATGGGGGTTTTACTATCATCGGCCTTTAACACTAATATTTAATTATGTGAGTCTTAGTTTTTTAGCTTTATGGGTTATGATCAAATCTACAATACCTAAATTACGGAATCCTTTTATTATCACATTTTAAAAATTGATACTATGATTTTAGATATGCAACTAAGAGTTAATAAGTGTATCTCTAAATGCTACCTACAATTCGCTCAACCATTGAACTCATTAAAATATTCCTTTTGATATAAATGTATTTATCCTAGTTTGTTTATAAATTACCCTTTTCGTTTTGAACTTTTCCAGTCGGAAGCTGATCGTTCTGACACTCATGAGTCTATTCACCGCTTATCGGAGAAAGATAATGAAACTGTCCGAAAATGTTCTTCAGAAAAAAATTGCTGTCACGTAATCAAGAAGTCTACTAAAGGTACCTTTCTACTAAATACTGGATTTATGAATTCTGCTAATTTACCCGTTTAGGAATTTGTTCTGTGTTAGATTAAGGTTAGCTATTTTTATTGGTTAGCTAAATGATTTTAGTATAAAAATCAGATAACTAGTTTTAATGGTTAATTTCAGCCGTCAGAGTGTCAGTTATGGGTGAATCTTAATAACAGTTTCTCAATAATTGATTTTCCTCTCCACTAGCCGTAAATGATCACATAATGTTACGAGACGGAAGTATATATCTAAAAAGTGTTACCCAACATTCAAATGTTCTAAATAATGGTAACACTCATTCGTGAAAACGTATATTAAAGTCAGGTAGTTGGTTTTGTCCGGTCCACATGTTTTTGCTTTCACTTTTTGATTAGAAGTTCTTCAATGTTGAATTAGTTGACTAAAACAAAGCTGCAAACTAACTATTTTTTTTATCTTGCTTTTTGTTTCTTACGAATTCTTGGGAATAAAAATTGTTTTTAGGTCATCAGATCTATACAGTATACTCATCTATTCATACACATTTCCATAATAATATTTACCTCTTTTGTTTCTGTTAATATTTCAAACAATTGAGATAAACTTTCTAAATCGTAAAATTAGTCATTCTTCAGTTGAAGTTAACCAAATAATACGTATTACTTTTTATACTTTCAAGGATTTTAAAATCGATTGGTTAGTCTCAGTGACAAAAATGGTTCTTGCCTATGGTTTTTGTTTACTTTGTACTACTTTTACGAGACTGTTTTCCTTGTAATCAGGATTTTTCTTTTCATAATTTAGTTCTTGTTTCCGTGCATTCTTACTTGATAGTCAAGTTAATATTTCTAGTTATGTAGAATTTATCTTCTGTTTGTTGCTCACCTCATTTCTTTTATTCTCAGCATTATTTCTACATTTTTATGTTATAGTATTGTTAGCGGTGATACGTGCTGTTATTTGTATAAAATTGTATTGATTGTGTATAATTACAGTAGAACTTAACTAATTAACCTTTTATGTAGGGAGCGTAACTTCCACTGGTGGTGTAGTGTTGTATATTGTTCCGTTGTCTCGACTTTTTATTGATAAGTTCGAGGTTTATCTCTAGTAGTTTTATAAACATCTAGGCTAATAGGTTCTTCGCCTCACTGCATTTGATTTTTGTTTTAAAGAAATCATTTATATGCCAGTAAATTGTATATTTAAAGATAATTATCTTTTATTGTTCTACATATACCTGGATTTATTCATATCTGCTAAATACGAAAGGGGTATGACCGTAGCCGATGTATTCTTAATGTCTAACTGTATATGATTGAAAAATTATGATAAAAAGTAAAATAATACTAGGATTCAGGTTTTAGTAAAATGTAGTGGAGTTTTTCAATAACATCAATTTGTTACTTATAGTTGTCAGATAATGCGAGTCTTCGATGTGAATTAGATGTGCATTAGAACGAAAGAGCATCCTAGAGAATATTAGCGGATTATTTCGAATAAATAACATGTAAGGAGCACCTGAGATGAATATATGATAGCATTTCATTAGTTAATCTTTAATATTCAAATTGATAGATTACAAATAGACATTAAGTGAGCCGAAGGTAGAGTGCTTTAATAGCTGTTTAATTGGCTCAGTTGTTTATTTGTGACATTTGCTTAAATCTAATCTGAATTGAGGATAACTTAATTCTAACTGCCTTAAAGAGCTAGAAACCTACGGTAACAATAAAAATTCGTTTCAGTCTTTGAACAAATAACACCGTATTTTATTTGTGCAAATATATATGCTTGTAATACTAAACAAGTTGCCTTTAGTATTTATCATAATTGATCACATTTATATGTATGAAACCCTTTTACTCACTGTCAAATGTACTGATTTATTTACATTAACATTATTTTAGATCAAGAAAATCAGGTTAATTTGAAAAGTGAGTGTGTATTATCAACAGACAACCAGAATAATGTACGTTATGTTTCCTTTTCCAAATCGTAACCGTGTTGTTTTTATTATTACACTATGCTCTCTTTTTAACTTCAATTTGTAACTATTTATCTTTGATTTTATTCTGGCCTTTTGGTTACATTGTCCATTATTAAGTGTTATAATTTCTCTTATTACGACCGAGCTATTCCTATTGCTTCGTATTCCTGGACACCAATTCCCTCGACAAATCCCCAAATCAGAACACCGTTGAACAGGAATCAAATTAAATTCCAAGTAACAAGGGTAGATAGAATAGAAATAGGAAGCTCGATAAGAAAAAGATTAGTATATTTATGGTTTTACATGAGATTTTAGCCTTCTCCATATATCCCCTAGCACTGATGGGTTAAGAAATAGCCAATCAGCGTGCTTCAACATAATCCTGTACGGATTCCGCTAACAATTAGGTAACCCGACAGCGAAATAATAGATCTTTAAGTGTTTACTTGTTGTAAAATGATTTTCCTGATCCCCCAGTCAGATAACGAGTTTTTTGCTTGTGTAAAATGATTGAAATAAAATCGCGACTTTTATAAAAGTTAAGTTTTATAGCACAGTCGAGCACCAAGTTGGTTACTTGACTGCTGCTGATTATAATCCTACAGCAACTCAGGCTTGTTTCAAATCTTAATCATTTCCTTTGTAGAGGGGTCTCAGTTTTCCAAACAAGGTGAAATTATTTTATTGTATATTGTTCCTCCAAATTGAGGTTGATGAAATGTAAACTTTTACGACGTAAGTATCTCCAACAGTAAGGCCTTACACAAAGTGTACTAAACAAGTTTGAAATTTTTAATTTCAGTTTGCATAAATGAGGAATCATATTCTAATGAACTGTTGTTGATAACATTATTCAATATGGTAGGTTACTTTGTGTAGTCTGTTTACAGCATTTTAGTACAGCGAAACAAGAAATTTTGACTAAATATGTGATTTAAAAGACTATAAAGTGTTTTCAGTTTTATATTATCACAATTATTACAATTCTAACAAAAAAAACTACAAGGGATTCGGGAACGTTATATTTCAATATCCACTTGAAGCTCCTGTAAGTTATTCATTCACCTGTGAAAGATGGTCTATTTAGTTTAGCACTAATCGTGACTTATTAACATGTTGAAAAGGATAATCTAAATTTACTATAATCGGATTAGACCGTCTAAGCATGAGTTTACACAAACGTTAGAAGGTGTTCAGGAAAATAAAGATGGATATTTATGGTATTAGATTCCAATACCAATCTGTTATTGTATTCATTAGTTTACGTAACTGTAAAAACAAGCAGTTGTTTGGTTGGTTCGACCTTTTAGTTTTGTTTAACTTTAAGTAAGTAGAGTTTTGATAGAAAAGCGGGGATAAAAAGGTGGAAAGATTGTGAATGTTTGTTACGGTGTTTATTACATGCTCAAGAATACAACCATTTATTAGTTAAAAAAGATCTGCATTTATCTTAGCATTATTTATTACAAAATTTAAAGCACATTTAGTTAACAGTGTGGACTAAATTGAAGTAACACTAGCTTATAAAGTTACCTATCAAATATCTTTCAATCTGCTGTATGTCTTAAATTTTCGGTTTTTTACATACAGCCAAAAAAACAGGAATTCACACAAATAATTTTTGCGTTCAGATGAACTTTATACAATGTCTTCTTGTATCTTGACTGTCTAATTAATCCTAAATTGTACTGACATCTCTCATTTTCTTTCTTATACTTACATATTCAATTTCAACACTAAAACTTACTACCTCTACACTGCTCTCGCTATGCTAATGGGGTTTGGCAAGTCGAACTGATGCACACATGTACCAAGTTATAAGTTGTGTCTGACTGACTTACTGGCACGCAGTTTTAATGACTAATCATATGAAATATTTTTCGATCGGTTCTAAGTAACACTTAATTCAAATATATACCTAATGTTAATGAACCCAAAACCAATTGATCAGTATTAATTTTGCAATCACTTGTATAACCTTTAAATACTAATATTGAACTATGACAAGGTAATTGCAAAACCATTTTTTCAGTTAATTTTTATTCTTAAACTTATTTTTATAAACTTTATATATCTACCTATATTTCTAGGGTCTATATCATTTAGATGGTCAGTTAACTGAACCTGAAAATTATTTAAGACATTTAAATATCTCCTACTTATTTGTATTCATTAATTGTTAAACTAATTAGCTCCAAAAAGTTTATAAGGTATTTTAGCGGAGAAACATATAAACAAACTGAAGCAGTTGAGATGTAATAAAGAGTGGTGGTTAAAGTACTCGGCTTTCAGTCAGTAGGTTGTTGGCTAAAACTCTGATTCACTTACTTTCGTTTGAGCAGTCGGAGTAGGGTCTCTAGTTTTCACACAACTGAAATGTAGTTCATAGTTGGCTGAATAAAACTGTACCTGATAAATGAATTACGTTACACTTAAATCGATAATATGTAAAATAAATTAACATAAATTTTACTCATTGACTACAGTTTGTTTAATGATACTGTTTTCCGCACCCTATCCTATTCTTAATGTGTATTCAGTACCTCTAAGCTTAAAATTATTTTAAAAAACCTAATCATCCACTTTACTTTTACTGGTGAAAGTCATAATATTATTTAAAAACTAATTAGTGTCTTTATTTACGAGAGAGAAAAAAGGAAACACAAATGATTACTTGTAAAGATATTTTTTCCAAACTGAAATTTCGATATAGATAACCATTGAAGTTTATTTTTCTGTTTTGAATTTAATCTACACAAATTCATGCAGTATCCAAGTGTACACGTATACGTAACAGGAAATTAGTTATTGTAATTCTTATTTCCCTTAACAAGGGTGTAACCTGTTAACCTGTTAGAACTACTTGCCATTTACTGCCTTGTTGATTGACTGAATGAACTAAAGTGTAATGTGAACCATTTCTTTCTTTTTTATTCTTAGAGTTGAAACAGTTTGGTATTTTCTTAAGCTTTAAAAGTAATATTTTAAGGCTATAATTTTTTTCTTTAACAAAGTTTTAGAAATTTGTGTATCTAAACAAGTGTTATTGGCTCAAAATAGTTTCTCATATTCAAAATATGAATTCCATTCAATAAGAATAATAAATAAAGTATAGAAACTAAATGGAATAATATTGTCTAGAAACATGATTCCTGAATCCCTCTTGTTCTACCATACTACATTTAAAATACATCTAAAGTATTATACTCTAAATAAAACGCTTTAAGCGTTCATCCTCCCCTTAGAAAAAAAATTCTAGACAGTTAATTCATATCATTGTTTACTAAACGTTTCAACTGAAATACTTTAAAAAAGTATCTACATAACCTTTGTTGTCTCTAACGATATAATAAAATGATTAAGCAGATTTTTAATTCCAAATGGTGGTTCAGTGACTAGATCGCTTGATTTTTGACTATTTAATAGTAGGTTCGAACCCATCCCTACCTATTTCAGTTCTAACAACCTGGTAGCATCATTAGCATTTACACCAAAAACGGGACTCGAATCCGCGTACACTTAAACATTTGATTACCAAATTGAATGGTTCCAATAATGATTGGGTACCTAGTTTTAATAACAATATAATAATTATAAATTTCTATTTTCCAATGACACCTAGATGAAATTGCATTTTCATGTATTGAAGTTGTTTGAGTTCCAAAAACTTCTGCAATATTATAACCATTAAATGTCAAAATGTTTAAAGAATCTATAAATAGTGCTAAAAACCCACAAAGATGAATTAGTAAGAAAATAACGTGAATAAATCTTGTTATTGTTTTCATGAAAATTCTATCTATGTAGATTTTTTATGTCTTGAATGAACATTTTCAAAAAAATATAGTTTTACTTCCCAAGGCTGATAATATTAGTCTGCTAATATCGATTTGCAGTGAAGATCATTCTAAGCTTTCCAGACTCTTCATTAATTCGTACTACAAGAAATCAATTGTTTCTATTCAAATGAATTAAGGAATGAAATACAAATAATTCACTTTTTTCCTAATATTATTTTCTTTTTATACTAGTAAAATCACAATGGTCTTTTTAAAATTCTACTTTCCCTTTAGAATATATCGATAAAATCGTCATTGATTCATGAATACCCTGAGCTTTCATCTCATATGATTAATAAGCTACAACAGACGACAGATATTTTACGGTTAGTTTTTTGATTTATTTCTGCACACTTTTTTATTTTAACGATATTCAAGACTGAAGTTTGGTAAGTTGTTGTCCCAGGATTTAGTTACATTCACCTAACAAGTCTCGAATGGAATAAAACGCGTATCCTGGATTTCACTACCAGCCAAAATTTATCAATTGTGCTTTTAATGTTTTTTCCTCTGTGATTGCTCACTTTGTTCGGTTTTTGTATAAACTTGTAAATATATTTCAGCTCGTTCATCATTACTTCGGTATAGCTGTTATACTTGGTTATCACACTTAAGAAATTTAGTCGTATTAATTGGAAAGAATAAGTCTTCGAATTATTCGACCATTTAATAAAAAATCGATAGGGTTGAGAGAAAACATCATTGGTGGCGTAACTAATCATCATGTCTTACGTTTCGAAGAGGAGCACATACTACTGGCCGTAGTGGTAATTTGATTCTCAATTATAGCAATTTATTCTTTATGCGTCGCACGAAATATTTACATGTCACCACAAGTTATCATATCTGTGCATGCAGTGTATTTTATATAATCAGGTGAATGTTAATCGTTCATTATCACCGGCCATCAATAACTTATTTCCAGACTTACAAGCTAATTTCATCTTTTATCATTCAGATGATATAACATTCGTTACCAAGTCAACATAAACAAACTTTATTTGTTTAGTTTATGTTGTAACCATGTTAACAGTACTTAATGATAGTGAAAAATTTTTTTAATGATATAATTCGTATTTAATCATTTGCTCTCATCTTGACCGATAAATAATAAAACATCCTTCTAATTTCATAGCTGACTGTAGTAAAACAACCGTTTAGAACAGAAAAGCATTGGACAGCTGTTTCACCTTAGTTTAGAACTCTTCAGCTGCGTGCATCCACTGTCCTACCGAAAATTGAACCCAGAAACTTTTAGACCTCACACTGAGCACTTAACCTTTAGACCACTGAGTTGACATTCTGTGGTTTACGTTACTAATTTCGGAAAATTGTAGATGTTGTTTGACTGTCCTCCAATATCATAGTTAGGTAACTGCCCCACACTCAACTTGTTCGTTAAGCACCCATTCAAAACACTTTCATTTTTGCAATAAATGATTAGTAATATACAATTCGTTGTATTTAAATTAGACATGAAAGAAATAGGGATGATTTGTAATGATTACTTTCTTCAAAAAGCATATTGTCATTTTTCGTGTTATTGAAATTGTCTTTGGCATGCTTTCATTTTATTCTATTGCAGAAGAGCATAATACAATGGTGCTATATTTTCGTTTAAAGAAGTGAATGACATGTCAACTCTCTGTAGTTTGTTAAAGCATTTCTAAATTTCTGTTATCCTTAAGAATATTACCATAATTTATAATAGCAAACACAATAACATTAAAACCTAGATCTTCGTAAACATTTTTCCTGGAAATTAAATTGTGTTTTGTGTTATAAACCTAATTTCATAATTTCTAAATCAGTTTTTGGTTTAAGAACTATACGACATTTTGCAACTTTTTTCAAGTAAAATTGTTAAGATAAATTAAAAGATTTCATGCTAGGTAAGTTAAATATAAATGGTGTTCTACGTTTTCAACATGAATTCATGTTATATACAAAATTTATTTAGCCTCGGCAATCTAGAGATTTCATTTCTATATTTTTTGATTAAAAAGAATGCTTGGAAATAACAATTCAGTTACCATTATTAGGTTAATAGACATTGAGGTACTTATTCCTACACTTCTTCAGGAAAATACATATCTGAACTTCATTTGTTTAACATTCGTGGTTTTAACATTTTTGCATTTTTCTTCGTCCGAAAGTAATAATAGATATTTAAAGTTGTAATGTCTGTAAGTCTTTTATTTGTTGAACTTACTATGCAAAAACTAAAAGATTTCAACTCACATGTTTTCTTTGTCCTCATAAACTTCAAAATGTTTATTATTATTAATACCATTCAGATGCCCCAATTGTTACCATCCAAGACCAGTGAGTAGAAAACAAAACTTTTGCTTCCATTGTGGCGTAAATCTACCCACACTGTCGACACCAAAATATGGTTCTTCTGCTTTAGAAAATATTGGTGTATGTCCTTATTGTAAAGCGCATGTACCATTAAATTTAACTAGTTGTTTAGTTTGTGAAAGTCCACTACAGATACAGGTATGCTTGTTTTATTTAACTTTTTTAGATTAGCATGCATGAAACTTACCTTTCTTCATATGATTAACTGATTTTCTTTTGCCGAAAACGTTTCCTTAACTTATAATTACCAATTTTTATTTCTCTATTTAGGTATGTTATGTGATGACTGCATCTACTATTTTGAGCTTTCTTTTATCACCTCTCATCTGCTGGATTTATTCTCTCAATTCACTTAAATATTTCGCTCCTAGAACATAATGAACATTTTAATTTCTGGATTATGGAGATTGTTGAATTTCATTGAAACCATCTGCTGATCAATGTTAGACTACAATTGAGAACCCGGAAGAATTGGACGGCGAATTCGTACTAGTATGGGACTTCTCAGCAGTGCATATCTACAGTACCACACGCGGAATTCAGACCTAGGAGGTTAAGCGTCCGCGCAAAACTGAAGGTCCTGGGTTCGGATCCCGCGTGCGGGATCGTGGATGCGCACTGTTGAGGAGTCCCATACTATGACGAATTCGCCGTCCACTGCTTCCAGATTTGCAATGGTAGTTTAACATTGGTCGGTTCATGATTTTAGTGACAATGAACATTTATTAGTAGTTACTTCTTCATTGGAACTTTTTCAATAATGTGCGTTCTCAAATATTTCTGTGGTAGAACAAATGAACTTTAGGTCAAATGGTGAATCATGTGTTTTCACGTTCGTTTCTTCCACTTTTGCTGTTATAATTGTTATTTTGTTTTGCTTTACATATTTTGTTACTTATGAGTAGTATGTTTTAATGTAAAATATCTTAATCGGTTATCACAGACGCTTCTTATAAAGCATATTCAAGTCAGAAATCATGTAAGGTTCTTAAACAGATCCTCACAAATGTGAATATCGTAAATATACAAACGTATCTTTTAACCATTAGTATAAAATCTGCAAGAGATTTTATGTATCCTGTTTAGGCTTGGATACTACTTTAGATGTAGTACTCTTTATTTGAAATGTGAATCAAATACCGTAAGATAGAATAAACTATTATTTATTGTGGATTAATATGAACCACGACATTTTTCCGTATAAATGCCTTCCTGAAATATTTCATGCCGAGTTCACAACCCTTGACAAACGTATCTTTACTAAGTGATCGGACTATTTGTGTGGTAACTTTTACTGTTATACGAATAACGCTCACTACGTATGTGTATTTCTTGTTACGCAAAGTGACCAAATTCGTCTTGGTATGAGTGCTTGTCTTTGGCTCAACGAATCATAATCTAACTTGTGTGCTTCAATCTTACTCCAATAATCTCTACCGTACACACTATCATTACTTCGATACATTGTTTAGTTTTGAAAACCTGTCTTGTGGGTTAGAAATAATTTAAACAAACCATAAGACATCTTTGATACAGTCTTGATTTTAATCTAACATTTTTAAACATTACACTTTGATGTCTGTTTTTTCTGCTTGTAAAAATAACTTCGTAGAAGTTTGGACAATGTCGTAAAGAATCTCGTTTGTGTACAACATGTAAAACAATGAACCCTACTGACGTAAAAAGTTGTATAATATGTGAAGCTAAATTAGCAACAGGGGCAACTAATGTCATTCTTTCGGGTTTCCAGTCTACATATGATTCTCGTCCTCCCCTACCTTATCCAGAAATGTGTAAAAATGTACGTTTTTCTACTTGTCCTTATTGTCATCGTGAAAATAATCTTGATGCTCGATATTGTGATTGGTGTGGTTTAGAAGTACCAAAACACTATCAACAATCACTGAATGGTGGTGAACTGAAATCTTCTAATAATATTAGTGGTAACAGACAGTTATTCAACCCGGATTATCCAGATTCGATTCCAGATGTATCATCTATTGGTTTGCATAACACTCCAAAAGATAATCAAAATAAAATCACTCTACGAGATGGTTTTATTCATTGTATAAAGTGCGATTTACCGAATCCAAAAGAAGCAAATTATTGTTCTTATTGTGGATTAAACTTGATGCCTCCTCCACGTTGTACTGGATGGTTTCCAATAATTAATGGATCAAGTAAGTAAATTCACTTATATGTATAAGCAATATTTTAATGCTTGTTTTATGCAATAATCTGAATTACATTATTCATGTCATTAAAGTTAACTTGCTTCCCAGGTTATCACTTATATAACAGATAAAAGATTCTAAGATAAATTTGTATCTAACCTATGAAATATTTTTTTTCTGATGATAAATAATTGATTTTAATATATTAGAGAGGAATACATAACTCGTTTTTCTCGGGCACTTTTAACAGTCCTGTTGGTTTTTTATCTCGCTGTTTTTTATATCTGAGCTTGTTTATTGTATCGCGATCCGTCTCGCATTGCCTCAGTGAATGGCTACATAGAATACTTTGAGGAATAAGAACGATCTGACTCCACTTTCGTGTATTACTCGATTATTATAAATGCTTACTAGTAAATTATATATATATATATATATATATATATATATATATATATATATATATATATATATATATATTGTGGCTTGCAAAAACTTCTGCTACATCTTAAGTAATCAAGTCAAATCAATAATTGGATCAGTAAAACATTGTTCATAAGATGCATAAAAATCAATGAAATATTATGAGTTCTTGGTTAACAATCAGAGTTGTCAGATATGAAGATGTCTTTCTTATCTTCGATATGAGAACACCTGTCTTCTGAAAAAGGCGTTCATGAACGTATTTTACTAAAATTGCATTGTTCCGTTGTACTATTTAAACTTGGATTAATTTTATTTTGGTTATTTATTCTCGGAAGAAGTGACTTACACTAAGTCACGAAACGTCAGAAAATCTAATTTTCTACTCATTGGGATATTACAAATATATATTATTTATTTATTTCATTGTGAGTTGATCATATTTGCTGCCTGAGTTTTCAGTTGGATACTTTATTGATCACTCATATTTCAATTCGTCCTATATTCCTAATGTAATGAGTTTGTAATTTTTGATTATTTGATTAATTCACGATAATTTCTCTACAATATTTTGTTCAACTGAAAATAATTAACTGGTAAATTTTAGCTTGGTAATTTGAAATGTGATATGTTCTACGAATCTTGATATTTTGGATTAATCTTATGTAACAGAATATAAATAGACACTCCAAGTGATCTCTATATTAAGGTAACGTGTAATTACCTAGTATTTTTCGGCATACTAAGAGTCAGTCAGTCAGTCGGCTGCAACGTAGGACCAGGCACGTATATGCATCGGTCCAAGTTGCCATACCGCATTAGCACAACAAGATGAACACCGGATTCATAGAAGTAGTTAATTCAGTGGTGGTAATATATAGAAGAAAGATTGTGTATAAGGAGATAGTAAAGGAAGATAGAATTAGTTCGTAGAAAGAAAGATTTGAAGTGATTTTAATCTCTTAGTTTAAAGGAAGACAGAGAGTGTATACACCGACGCCATTGTGATCGATTCTGAGCCATGTCACCAAGAGTCTCCAACCATTGGTTACGATAGTCACGCGGACCCCAACCAGGTAGTCTGCATCTACCAACATGGCTCAGACCAGAAGTTAGTGACTTCAAGCACTGATGCCACGTTTTGGTTTGGCCGCCCCTAACTTTCTTCCAATTATCCCCTACACTAGTCAGCATTGCGCGTCGTGGTAATCGGTGTTCAGGCATACGCAGCACGTGGCCTAACCATCTCAGTCGATGAAGATTCATAACCTCATCAACTGATTTACCATCATTCCCTAATACCCTGCGTCTAACCTCACTATTACTTACCCGGTGATCCCAGCAGATACCCGCAACATTTCTAAGGCATCTGTGGTCAAATACTAGTAACTTACGAATATCTTCTACTCTTAAAGGCCATGTTTCGCAGCCGTATAGTAGAACGAAATGAACTGCCGCACAGTATACTCGTCCCTTAATTGATAGACGGATATCTCGCCTTCGCCATAGATGACGTAAGTTGGCAAAGGCCAAACGAGCTTTTCGAATCCGTGCTGAGATTTCGTCAGACACCAACCCATTAGGGCTGATCAGACTTCCAAGATAGGTGAAGTTGTCGACGCGTTCGACTACTTCACCCCCTATCCTTAGTTCAGGTGTTGATGCAGACCAGTCCTGAAGCAACAACTTGCATTTAGAGGGAGAAAAGCGCATCCCAAACATTCTAGCATTGTTGCTCAGTGCTACCAAAAGACTCTGCATTTCATCAGCGTCTTCATCAAACAGGACTATGTCATCTGCGTATTCTAAGTCAATAAGTGGACCTCCTGGAAGGAGATCAATACCTGAGAATTCAGTCGATGAGAGCGTTATTTCCATCAGTAGATCTATGATGAAGTTAAACAAAAAAGGAGAAAGTGGACAGCCTTGGCGGACGTCCCTTGAGGTTGCGAAAGCAGATGACAGTTCGCCATAAGCTCTAACTCGACTAGTGGTGTTCGAGTAAAGAGCTTTCACAAGGTTTATGTACTTCTGAGGTACGCCTTTCAATGACAGACACTGCCACAGAACCTCTCGGTCAACAGAGTCAAACGCTGCTTTTAAGTCAAGGAATACCACCATTGTCGGACGCTGATAAGTATGCCTGTGTTCTAGAACCTGACGAATGGTGAATATGTGGTCGATGCAGCCACGACCAGGACTGAGGCCAGCCTGATTTTCACGTGTTTGCAGTTCACGAGTCTTAGTTAGGCGTCCGAAAATTATCGAAGCTAGTGTTTTAGATATTATATTAGTTAAACTAATCCCTCTGTGGTTGTCACAGGATGATTTTGACCCTTTCTTAAATATTGGGACGATAAGTGATTGTGACCAGTTAGATGGAATAACGTCTAACTCCCAGATTTTAGCTAAAATATTAGTCAACCTAGTCGCTAAAACTAGACCACCATCCTTAAAGACCTCTGGGGCCAATCCATCTGGACCAGATGCCCTTCCTCGTTTCAGATTAACTATAGCCTTTAGAACTTCAGTTAGAGATGGGGGACCTACTTCAATGTTCCATTCATACTGTCTGGGAATAGAGGGTAGTTGTAGAGTAGCTGAATGCCAGCTAAACTTCTCCTTAAAATGTTCCGCCCATCGTTCTAAGCGTCTGGACTGGGAGCAGATGAGAGTGTCGTCTTTTTCCGATGGTACGAGATTCTAAGGTTTTAGCCAAGGAAGCCTGCTGACCGATTTGGCATAGTGTGCGTACGTTGAAGGCTCGAATGTATAGTTTGGAGCGAGGTTTCAGTAGACCTGGGACAGTGTTTTGAGCACTAGAATCGTTGGCTGTGGTGACACTTGAGGAGGAAGCCGAAAGAGGGAGTTTAGATTTGAAAGTCGATGTAAGAGGAATAATAGGAATTGAAGAGGTAGGTTGATTATGAATACAGTGATCTTGACTGCTGTTAGAGGTATGAGGGCGATTATCACTTCCCGGTTGCTCACACCGTGGAAGGGTTCTGCTGGAGTTACCTGAAAAGGAAATTGGATTAGAGTTGGTCATAGTGACCTGAGAGCGTGACCGCAGTGCCCAAGGGACAGCTGCTTGAGGTCGGTCACACACGACCTTTTAATGAGTAGTTTTAGTGTTAGCTCCGTACTTGTTGAGTCCTTACCGCCGGAGACGGATATCCGTGGAATAAGGCGAGGTGTGCATTTTTAGGGTCGACCTTTTCTAACCCCTCCACTCCTTTTGGGAAGGCAGCATCGCTGTTACGCTGGTTGTCTGAAGGAAACACCTTACTGCTGTCACACCTCTGTACAGTCAGCAGTACGACTTCGCCTTCGGACCTTGGTTTTGTTGCTTTTAGTCTTACCGCTCTTCAACCGACCTGTCTGGCATGGTAGGACCTTGAGGAACGGTTGTTCCAGCCAGTATAGCTCAGTTGCTTCATCACGATAGGCAAGCCCGACCACCACGTCAAGGTAGCAACAACGGTCAGGGCATACTAAGATGTATGTTGTGGTTTTTTATTATCATGATTTTTAAAAACACAGTTTTTTATTATTTGCATTACTAAATTTTAGATCACCATGAATTTGAGATTGGCGGAAATCAACCTGAAAAGTCGGTTTCACAGCACAAGTACCTACAACCTGTAGTCGCAAATGTTTCTACCCAAACTTATGGGATATTTTATCCAAGTTCAACAGACTTACGACGGCAAGATCAGTTAGCTCAAAATCGTTTGTCAGTCGATGTTCAACTGCGAGACAGAATACCTACACTAACTGCAATAAGTCCCGGAAGAGGTAAGCTTTATAAGTTGAACAATGTATACTTTGTTAAATGTGGTGAGTTTACTTTTGATCGTGACCATGTTAATAGTATGTTCCAGGTAGAGCTGGCACATACCAGTTTGTATGAGATAGTCACACACTAGGGATAGTTTTTGTTTTCATGTGCTAAATTTTGAGGCCGGTACACATGAAACCTTGTGTAGCCTTATATCTGTCACTCTTATATCTTCGGAATCCTTAACTATGATGACGGGGTCAATTTGCAAGTTTCGGTTTGTTTATTACAATAGTCTGGTTCTAGCTGCAACTCAATTTTCGGTTCCATCTTCTCCTCAATCCAGTTTTCAATTGTAACTGAATTCATATTTTTTAAGTCACTGTTGCAACAAACAAGTGTAAAAATGTCGATTTCAATGACGGAAATAATGTCACCTTCTATTTGGTAAAGATGTGTTCAATAGATCTCACTTACTAATCGTTGATTTGCTGAAAAAGCATATGCTCAAACTATCAAATCACATTCAAAAATTATATATATATATATATATATATATATATTGATCCGACTGCTTCGTCATCTGTTAACTTAAAGGACGGTTGCATGGTTAAAGAAGAGGTTAATAAAGTTCTTAGCATGCTAAACGTTGAGCAATGTTCAAAAGTTCTCTTGTAATATTCCACTTATCTTATTACTTTAATAAAGTTTAGTAATAATAGTATAAGTATTTCCAGTGTAGTCCTCATTAAATATGAATTCACAACTGATTACTCTTTTGTTGTGATAACAGATATTGTATGTCCTCACAAAATATTCGGTCCTAGTGAATTCTCCAACCAGTGTGAGAAATATGTTTTAAATGAGTCCCATCCTGATCACATTTGTGATGTTGTTATACCAGATGTTAAATGTTTCTACATCTCATCTATGTCAAGCCAAACCATGAGGAAATCGGAAAAGAAGTTAGCCGACACTTTAAAAAGACAATACATAAAATAGTTTGCGGATGACTTTAGGGAGAGCATGCAGCCGAAAACTGTTCTAATCATCCACTACTAGATTATTAAATCAGGATTAAATTCAGTTCAAAAATAAGACTGTGGATAGTGGTAGAGTCTGTGGATAGTCTTGAAGTCACAGATAGAATGTGGCGCGCGAGACCGAAGATCTAGGGTTCGATTCTCGTCTGTGGAGTCGTGGACGCGCACTCCTGAAAAGTCCCATACTAGGACAAAACTGCCGTTCAGTGTTTCTAGACTTTCAATAATGGTCTAACATTATATTGGAGAGAGACGTGCGATTTGAGGAGAGAGAGAATTATTGATGGGACCAAAGACGCGTAAAACACGTAAGAACAGCCTAGAGTTCTGATTGGTCGTGCTCCCCTGTCTAGCCCAGCCAGTTGAGTCCAGAACGCAAGTCTCAGCCTCTGTGATATGAATCTTTATATTTCAGACATACTCTGTTTATATACCAAACAAACAGACTACATCGTACCATAAAATAAAAAGTAACATTTGTACAAGATTTGACCTCCAGGAAATGGCACAAAAAATATTGACCAACGGGAAAATGACACGTTGGAAAAATATTGACCAATGGGGAAATGAGACCAATGACGAGGAGGAAATTGTTTCGATTAAGTCAGAGGAGTTCACTGAACGAGACGACGACAATGAACAGGACGCGTATGACAACAGACTTTGTGATATTTGCAATGTTGCGCGACCGCCACATGAAACTGACGATTGAAGTGCTTGGATTTTTCGCCCATGCGAAGCAATGTTTCATTTATTTTGTGCTTACGACCCACCACTATTTGTCTATGGAATCCACTGTTCCATGTTCAAATCAAAAAATAATTCTTTCTGACTGTTCCATCCGAGTTTTGGTAAAAATGTTAATAATATTCTATATATTGTTAAATAAAAATTTTTGACACGTATTTGAAATATTGGTTACATGAAGTGTAAAAGAACAAGCCTATGTCTGACGAAATAAATTTCAGAAAGAATTATTTTTTGATTTGAACAGTTTAGACCATGAGCCAATTGAAGCTAGTGAACCATGGAAAACCTGCTAATGTTTAACTTCAACTAATCCACGAAATCTTTGTAAATCTCAATTGATTATATTGCTTAATGACTAAGGCTTAATTTGAATTCATCAATGTTGGTTCAGTTGACCTTTCCCATAGAAATAATGTCGTTGTACTAGTGTACTGGTAGTACTACATTCGTCTATCGTAACTATATGACAAAACATTGAAACATTCTGAATAAGTTTTGCATGTGCCATTGTTAGACACATTAGTGTTCATTAGATGACATTTCCTATACGAAATCGTTTACTTAAACCGTATATTTGATAAAGCTTAAAAAGCGATTACGAATACGTGGGCGATAATCACATAATAATTATTAATCTTAAATGAATTTTGATAGCTTCATCACTTTACCTTTGCCATGGAAATAAGGAATTGAAACAAAAGGATTTAAATCAAATTTACTCGTTCTCTAAACAGTTCCGAATTTCATTAACAAAGGCGTTGCTATGATTCCGTTACAGCGCCGCACATGGGACAGTGGATTCCATAGACAAATAGTGGTGGGTCGTAAGCACAAAATAAATGAAACATTGCTTCGCATGGGCGAAAAATCCAAGCACTTCCATCGTCAGTTTCATGTGGCGGTCGCGCAACATTGCAAATATCACAAAGTCTGTTGTCATACGTGTCCTGTTCATTGTCGTCGTCTCGTTCAGTGAACTCCTCTGAGTTAATCGAAACAATTTCCTCCTCGTCATTGCTTAACGTTACATCCATATCGACGTTATTTTGATAGTTAGTAACTTACAAAAGATGAAGGAAGGATATTGAGTGTTCACGGAAGACCTTTTTGAAAAATTATAATAACACTAATTAAATTACCTCTTTCGTCTACTCGGCTGTGAGGAACCGCTAGGTGTTCTAAGGCCATTTCTTCAACATACGAATTTAATATACGGCTTCCGATCTCTATGGAAATGAGAATCTCTCACCGCATAATGGCAGTACATAGCTCTTTCATAAGTTCTAACGGCGCTCTTCAAGTGATTGAGACGCTACGAGATACAATGTGCTCAAGAATAGGTTATCGGTTTCTGTGACAACGTAAGGAACGACAGAGCTCGTGCTTTGCACCTTACTACCGCCCGTAATTGGAAGAAAATGTGCTCTGTCGTCAGATCCTGACATTTTATATCAAGCTTAAGAAATAAACGACCAATTATAACGAACTCAAAACTAGCTATTTGATTGGACGGAACAGAATGAAAATTATTGGAAGATGGGGATGAAAGATTTTTTCGAATGGGACGAAGAAAAATTTCACTCAAAAAAAAAATAAAAAAATGGCCGTGCATTTAATGTTAACCCAGGAATAGCATTAGATAATTTCTGGGATATTTTTCTGAATACCCCAACAAGTTCATAATTTCAACAGTACGTTGTTGTTACTTCTAAATATTTAGTCTTCACATCGTTACCATTGGATAACACGAAGCTCAACTAAATAAAAATGATGAGTGAAATTACTAGTAATTACTTATTGCGTTATTTTTATACTGATCAAGAAGACGATAATATTCATTCATTTGAACTAAGTGTAGCGTATCAGAATTATTTTGATCAGCTCGTTACCAGTTCATATGTTCATGAACAGTAAATGGACATGACTTGGTTTTGTTGAGCCGTTATAGTATTTGGTGATAATTTTTATCACAAATGGACATCAGCTAAAGACTTATTGAAAGCTGATATCAGTTGCCGAATCCTCAATTCCATCCCATAAACTCAGACCAAACGGCATTCCAATATTTTCTCGGACAGTTAACGTTTTGCGTTGAAAGTCCTCTCTATATTAGATTTGTATGTAGTTTCTGTAATTTGCTATCACTTAAAGCTTCATAGGTAATCATTAAATATCTAAATAATATTTTTCCATGTAGTCTAGGACTTTTGGATCTATTTTTTACTCTTTCGTCAACTAAACTTTACACATACCCATATTTTTTGGATTACATCGTTTCTGAACAAGTGAAGTTTATTTTGATGATTTTGCACTGCTCATTATTATAGATATTAATTTTTACTATCCATATTTTCTTCGTAAAACTTAATTCAACAGGTTTTTGGCGAAAGCAATTAGACCATATATTTGCACATTTAAAATTATATACAAATAATAATTCAGAATTTCGCGCTTCGATTGGTCAACCTAGATTTGGCAAAGTATGTTTAACTTGATTACATGTACTCAAATAATTTATTTAAACTTATTTATAATCTAATATGTAATCCATTATTGAATACGTTTTTATTTCAGTAAATCTATTTCGATGCTTAATAAGACTATTCTAGCAACCATTATAGAGGTGGTTCTATAATAGGCATATAAATAGCTTCATTGATTTTGAGATGGTGGAGAAGATTTGTAGCTCAGGTGGATGATTTTGATCCAGCTCAGAGAACAAAACTCCATCAAAATAGCTTCATTGATTGTTCATACCTTATTATGCACTAGAGTTTTGTTTCTGCTTTTCAAATAAAATTGTTCTTCTGTAGCTTACTTGAAGGTATTTGTGAATGGGTGAAATAATGGTTAGATCTTCATTTTTAAATCGTTTAGTTATAAAGTAACAAATCGTATTAAAAGTGGTTTATTCACTTGCAGATTATGACGATAATTAAATCGCTTTAAAACTTCTTTCATTGCAATGTTTGATAATCTTATTGGATTAATCAAGTAATACTATTTCATTAAAATTTAATTATTCTATATAGTAAATTATATGTTTTGTTAAGATATATATTCCTTATCTGTTGAATATGCGATGCGAATACAAAAAGCTATTCTGAACATTTTATTATTCTACACATTGTCATCCGCTTCTCCCAACTTTCACTTAGTGTGTGTTATTATACTTAGATTTTGTCTGTCTTGAATTTTTATTCTAGTTCACAAATACAGTAAAGAATAGCACAATTCACTTATTACTTGATTTTTTCTGTTTATGTGTGAATTTCTCTCTCGCTCTCTCTTTCTCTAGTTGTTCTATTCTTTCTAATCATTTCGCTAACAATTGTTCTTAGCTATCATAAGTCTTTGTCATGCATTCATTGAATCTGCCTAATGGAAATAATTAATGTTTAATGTTGTAATTTCATTGTTTAAATCATATTTATATTCATAATGTTAGATTTATGATATGATTGAAAATGCGCTTTTGAATTTTTTAAATTTAGATTGAAATAAACAACTGTTTATCACTATTTAAGTTTTGAGACTTCTATTTTTCAAATTTCGTCTTATTTTCAAAACTCCAAGATTCATCAAACCATATCAGTATATCTTTTGCTAATTAATTAGTAGTTTTTAATGTAATTCCTTAAAATTAGCTCGTGAGTTGCTTTCAAATTTGTTTTTCTTTATGCGACTATTTAGTCACCCAGTATATACAGCGATATATTAATATCGTCGAAATTGTACATTCTCATAGTGAATGCGATCTTCGACAGTTCTTTTTTATAGGAATTACAAATATTTGGTCCTAAAATTAAATGATGGATCAGTTAATATATTGCAACTTCCAGCTTTAGCTCTTCTAGGATCATCAAATCATCCTTCAAAACAAAGAAGGAGGGAATTACAATAAATGTTATCCAATGTTATGCACCCACTAATGATAGCAATGACGACGATAAAGATCAATTTTATGAGAGGCTACCACCAGTCATAATGAAGTGCCCAGGAAAGGACCTGACAGTCCTGATGAAAGATCCAAACGCCAAAGTCAGAATGGACAACAACGGGTATGAAGATATCATGCGACGACATGGACCGGGAGAAAGGAACGACAATGACGAGAGATTCTCAAATCGCCAAAATGATTGTGGGTGGCGGTACTTTCCACCACAAACACATACACAAAGCTACATGGGTATCGCCGGATCACACCACGAAGAACCAGATAGGTTATATTTGCATCAGTAAAAAATTCACATGGTCAATGGAAGACGTGAAAATCAGGATAAGAGCTGATATAGCTTCAGATCACTACCTAGTAGTTGCCAAGATCAAACTGAAGCTAAAGAGGCATTGGACAACTGGACAAACAACATGACAAAGGTTCAATACAGCCTTCCTTCAACATACTGACAAACTCAACCAATTCAAGATAACTCTCAACAACAGGTTCCAAGCCTTACAACATCTACTCAAAGAAGAAGAAACTACTATAAATGACAACTGGAAAGAGATCAAAGAAGCACTAACTCCAACGCGTCAGGAGGTTCTGGGTCGCAACAAGCATCGTCAAAAGGAACGAATCTCTATCGAAACCCTAAACAAGATTCAAGAAAGGAAGAACAAGAAGACAGCAATTAACAACAGCCAGACAAGAACAGAGAAAGTCAAGGCACAAGCTGAATACACAGAAGCGAACAAGCAAGTGGAAAGGAGCATTAGAGACAACAAGCAGAAACACGTGAAAGACATAGCAGCGACGGCGGAAAAAGCTGCAAGTGAAGGGAATATCAAACAACTATATGACACGACGAAGAAACTGGCAGGGAAATATGGTAAACTAGAGAGAAATTCAAAGACAAGGAAGAAGGCAAGCAAATCACTGAGATTCACGAACAGGGGAACACATGGGTAGAACACTTTGACGAACTCTTGAATAGACCAGCAGCACCTACAGACCTTCCTACAGATTTCACTCCACGAATGATAAAAAAAATCGGGATGTCCATCAGACCAATCAAGAATGAGGAAGCAGCAGGACCTGACAACATACCGCCTGAAGCACTGAAGTCAGACACAGAAGTAACTGCGAACATGCTCCACTTTCTATTCAGGAGATTTGGGGAGGGGAAGAACAAGTGCCACTGACAGACTAAAAAGAAGGTACTCCACCAAGAAACCAAAGAAAAAAGATCTGGTCAAATATGAGAACCACAGAGGCATCACACTGCTATCAATACCTGGAAAGATTTTCAACAGATTGTTGCTGAACCAGATGAAGGATTCAGTGGACACCCAACTTCGAGATCAACAGGCTGGATTCCGTGATGAACAGTCGTGCACAGACCAAATCGCGACACTACGGATCATCGTTGAACAATCAATTCAATGGAACTCGTCACTATGCATCAACTTCCTTGACTATGAGAAAGCGTTTGACAGAGTGAATAGGGGAACCCTATTGGACCTTCCTCAACACTATGGTGTATCATAGAAGTTTGTCAATATCATCCGGAGTTCATACGACGGAATACACTTCAGAGTGGTGCATGGAGGACAGTTGACAGATGCATTCCGAGTGAGGACCGGTGTTAGATGAGGCTACTTACTCTCGCCCTTCCCCTTTCCTCTGATGATTGATTGGATTATGAAGCCCTCCACATCTGACGGGAAGCACGTAATACAATGGACAGCATGGATGCAACTAGACGATTTGGACTTCGCAGATGACCTGGCCCTTCTATCCCATGTAACCCATAAATTTACCTCATTACCTTGTTGATGTAAAATATGTAGATCAGAATGGATATATATTTATATCATATTCTGCATTGTGTAGGAAAGACAAACTAAATAACTATGAGGTAATCACTAGATAAAAATGAAACAAGATGTGTATGTTAGAAATCACATAATCAATGGTCTTTTAAAGCAAATAAACCTGAGCATTACCAATAGAATATGAATTCACACTAAACGATTCAAACATTAGTCTTAACAAAAACAAAACCATGTGTGGTTTAGTTTTGTTTCCTTAGAAAAAATCAAATTCAATAATATTCTTTAAAGATGTATGCTAATGGACCAATTATAAACAATAGACTAAGGGCATTTATTCTATTTTATAATTTTTCATTACTTCAATTAAAAAAAATTCTAGATGATTCATTAACAAATTGATTTTAGATGATCTAAAAATAACTAATCATGTATATGTTGTATTTTGAAGACTGTGCAACATAAGTTGTGGTAGTGAAATAAATATACTTACATTCTTTTTTACTTACGCCTGTTGACCCTCATGGAGGAGAATAGGCCGCTCATCAGCCTTCTCAATCCATCTCTGTCCTGGACAATCTTTTCCAGTTGCTATTCACTATTTTGATGTCTACTTCCGATTTCCGTCACAGTGTGTTCCTTGGTCTTCCTCTTTTCCGTTTCCTTTCAAGATTCCAAGTTAGTGCTTGCCTCGTGATGCAGTTTGGTGATTCCCGCAATGTATGTCCTACCCACCTCCAGTGTCTTTTCCTAGTTTCCTCTTCAGCTGAAGTCGGGTTTGTTCTGTCACAGAAGTTTGCTGTTGATGTTTTCCGGCCAACGGATATTGAGTATCTTGCGTGGACAATTGTTTAGAAATACTTATACCTTTTTGACGATGGTTGTGGTAGTTCTCCAAGTTTCAGCTCCATACAATGAAACTGTCTTGACGTTCTTATTGAAGATTGTGACTTCGATATTGGTTGACAGTTGTTTCGAGTTCCATATGTTCTTCAACTGTAGGAATGTTGAATCTGCTTTGCCAATCCTCACCTTTACATCTGCATCAGAACTTCCTTGTTCATTGATATTGCTCATATATATATATATATATATATATATATATATATATATATATATATATATATATATATATATATATACATATATATATCTGCGAAGTCCAAACCATCCGTTCCTTTTGACGATTCTTGTTGCGACCCAGAACCTCCTGACACGTTGGAGTTAGTGCTTCTTTGATTTCCTTCTAGCACCTCTTTCGAATCTGTCCCTTTCTGTTCGGCTTGTGTTTATGGGTTTCGTTTATTCCGAGCACCATCAAGTTGTTCTCTTCACTTCCGTTGCTATTTGACTGGCTTATATTACTTGTTCTGTTTAGCGTATGTTTTAGCAAGGTTTTTCTACGGGATGGGGTCGCCATTTTCACGCCCAATCCTTTTTCTTTATCTAGGGCTTGAGATCAGCATTAGCCCTAGAAGATCTATAGACGGATTTTAACTCTACTGTTTCCATGTTGTAAATTAAAAGAAATTTGAATAGAAATATAGTTGAATGTAACCTTTACTCAATCAATCGATCAATTATTGATTCAAATTCCACTATCAGAAAAGGCGAAACTCCATCCTTTTTAAATAAAAGAACAAATGATTGACATATACTTTTTTACTACAATTGAACATTTTATATAAGGAGTTATTTTCTTCATTAATAGGGCTTAATCATTTCACGTTAGTTTGTTCTTTTAAAATAAGATATTTAAAGAAATATCAAAATATTAATGATATCTAGCTTATGAATATTTGAGTCATATTTTATATCAAGTTATCCTAGTGATAAACAAGCTCTTTTAAATTATATTTTCTGCGTATATTATGAGCAAAATCTTAACACGCAGATTGTAACTATAGCAAACTCCTTATCGTCAAAAATCTGTTCAGAATTCTGATTGTTCGTAGTACTATTTAACAGTTAATTTCTCTGCTTCAAAACTCGTTAGAGTTATGTGTGTTCTAAACCCCTTCTTGCATTAAATCAAACGCCTACATGTTTGAAAATAAATGCTTTGTCACATAGATATTGGTTGTTTGGATCTTCCCATTGAAGCGAACGACACTAAGTTCAAGTCTTGGAGTGAACATCGACTGTGTGATACAAGTACATCCAGGGGACGAGTCCTAAATATGACGAAATGAGTGTCATGGATCCTATCACCGTCCATCTCTGGCCAAATGTTTTACCATTAAACGACTTCTTATGATAATGCAAGAAAAAGAGATTGTAAAAGTCAGAAAATTAATTTTAGAGGAATTAGTTTATGTGTTTTTTATGTGTATTTATTAACCAATTAGTTCATGATATGCATATATGACCCTGATTGTAGGCTATCTGTTGATTTGTTGATTCTTGCCTTTTCTCTTTTCATAAATGACCAATCAATACATTATTTAGTTTCATGTTTTAGTTATTTAAGTATTTTGACTTGTTATTTTTATTATCTTGTCTGATATCTTAAATATATCATCATTTCAGTTGCAAGTTTAAAATATGCAAAGTAATTGACTGGTTCTTCTAATGTTTTGATTTGTCGTCTGGGAACATATGGTTTGTACTAAGATCTTAGGAGATATAGTGATCTAGTCAGTTAAATGTTCGTTATGAGTGCTGAGGAATTTAGATCGCCATACTCTGTCGAAATCTATTCGTTGTGAGTCACTAGACATCACATCATCCAAAAACCAAGACCACTTATTCTCGTTAGTCCCAATTTCCATTTTAGTACAACTTTTTGCATTGAAGGACTTCATTAGAATGACTGATGTGAGATCACTAAATAGACTACTCAATTGTCCTATTTTGTAAAGTGCCTGAAGAATCCCCTATATACGTAAAACAGGTTTATTTCTGATCAGCACATTTTAGCATGTTCTTTATTTAAAAATATGTTTATGTGTGCTTCAAAAATTTAATAGTGAATGAGATAACGAACGAACCAATGCTAAATTACTATTGTTAGCTGATGTTGCTTGTATTATGTTATTGGTATACTTCACACAAATACTTCTCAGTTTACTTCGGTAACTCAGTTACTGTCTTTAAGGTTTTTGAATATCCAGTAAGTTGTTTGATTATTTCAATTTTTCTAAGATTAGCTTGAACTAAAATACCGTTTAGCCTACGGGATACTGCATTTCGTTTAGCTTTTTGTACAATTTAAACCCTTTATAAATGAATTTATATGGGAAAAGTGATATCAATCATACATAGTTATTTAATTATTTGATGTTTAAATCATGGAGCAATAGTCTTGTGTGATATTGAAACCCCATTTAAAACATCCACGTAAAATTGTGTGTTAAACACAGTAGTGCACAATTAATATTACAAATCTCAGTCACAATATGACGAATAGTTGCTTGAAGCTGCTTGTATTTTATCTAGGTTATAAGATTATGTTAAATTTAGATGTAAGTATATGTGTAGCAGAATACTAACACTGTACTATGTAGTGGGTGGTAAAAAATAGAAATAATATTTTTTTATTTAACTCAAGGCTTCATAAGTGAAACCTTAGGTAACCAACATCAATGTTTCTGTTATAATACAAATTTTATTGAGCAAGAAGTAACTTCTAGATGATTAAAGATATAGTTACTCTATAGATTGGAATCTCATCATATAGAATTGCACTAACTATCCATCTTTTATTGTCCATTGTTAATTTTGTTATCTGAAGAATGGTAATTATATTTTAGCTATTTGTTTTAAGTTACTTCCGTAAATGTATTCTTAAAACTAATTAAGAAAATCATGTAAACTACAAAAATAAATTATTTTATTTTGGGCACCGTAAATTTTCTGCCATGAAACTCATGATTTTCAATTTTTGTTCAGTATCGTGATAACTTTTTTCAAGTTATAAAGTAACTTTGATGTTCAATTAGTATTAGGGTGAAACAATCATCGATAATTATTTCGTCCTGAATAATTGTTATTGTCTATCAATTTTATTTCAAACACAAACCAATAATCATTGTTAATGTAGACCTGTATTCTATAATTATTCATTTGCTGACTAGTTAAATAACACTTTAATTGTAATATCTTAGCTGAGTATTTCATAGTAATGATAATTTGTTGTATTCGTCTACTTTAAACAATCCTCGTATGGGACCCTTAAGCTATGCGCATCCACAACCCTACCAGGGATCAAGCCCGAAACCGTCAGATCTCACCAAGCCTTTAACCTTTCAGCCAGTACGCCAACAACCAGTAGTTTATATGCCTGACACCAATCAATTTGCGATATTACCTAACGATCGTCAATCGTTTTCAGGGAATATATGCCTCACTTCTGACACAGCTGGACTTCACTGGTCTCAGATTCTCACAAGAACTCTTAGAATTATCTCTTAAAATTAATCACTAATATGTCATAATTTTCAGAATGGAGAGGGTTATTGAATATTTTTGAAATCGTGCATTGATTACAGCTAGAAATATAGAATATGGGATACCGGCTCACTAATCTAAAGATAAAGCACTCGCCACGATATCTAAAGGTCTTGGGTTCAATCCTCCGTGTGACCGTGATTGCATACTCTTGAGTCCTATTCCGGAACTGTTTCAATGCTTGTCGGTTTTTTATCTCAGTGGTACTCTAAAGCCCCCCTATTCTGTAAACCGTCATCTTAGATTTTCGTAGTATAAAGCCATTGAACACGTACGAATCATTCCTAGCAGTCTTAGGGATTTATATTAATTAATTAAGACGTTAGTTTGCAACTAGGTATATTGTCTTTTTACTTTCTTACTATAAGTATTATTATTAATTCAGATAATTTTTGTATCAAGCTTTTGTCCGCTGACCTTTGTGCACTGGCATCCAATCAGGCAAAAATTACTTTAATCTATTCACTCCCGAATGACAAAAACAATACATCTAGAACACTAAATACAACAGGTCCAAGTAAAATTCCATTGGATTTAGATTACTGTGATAATCATAATAATGACGTGATCCCTCACTTCAATAAATACTCAAATCAAACTATACCAAACTCTGGTGATTTCAGAAATGATAAACATGAAAATGACTTAGATCAGAAGTCAATTGACAGTAAATCAAATAATAAAGAGTCTATCAATTTGTTTCCAACAAGGGATGGTCATTGTGAATCATTTCGACCGATCCCAAATCAACAAAGTCTGTATAGTAACAATAGTAACCGGTCGTCTTCTAGATCTCCACATAAAGGTAAGTGTATACATTAGAAAGAATTTAATATAAATGATACTTATATTTATGTATACATGGAATATATATTATTAATTGCGATCATAGTTATGCCGAATTCGGTCAATTAGAAAGCGGTAACAGATGGTTAATTTATTGTCATTTACTTAGCGAACAGACAAATCATTCAATGTTTATTGATATCCCAGCGTTCCATTCATAATTAATTGTTATACCTCAAGAAACATAAATTTTTCGGACTCTTAAAAGTTCATAGGAAATGACTAAGTCAGTCTTAAATGCTGTTGGAAATACAGCACTAAATAGTTAAGATGCAATTTGTTTAAAATTCACCCATTACTAAGGAAGAATAATTTTATGATAGTCAACTTTAAGAATTTTTCAATGTTTCTACAATGTGTATAACATGTAAATTAACTTGCTCAATATAAATCTTTGTCATATTTTATCTATAAAGATTTAGTTCCTTTGTTCAGTTAAGTTTAAGTTAGCTTAACCTATACACTTCCACCTAATGCTTTTCTCGAAAGACTATAGTGACTGGTGTAGGACTAATGTTGTAAAAAAGCTAAGTTGCAAACTTAGACTTGAGATCAGTTTAAGAAGTCATCTATTATTGAACTGAGCCATGAAGGAAAGCGCTAACTTCCAGGTTCGATTCAGCGTGTTAGTTCTGATCAGGGGTCAGAGACCTTTGATGATATACTTTCAAAATCGTTCTTAACAACTTACGTACATTCATTTTTTTATATTTCTGTTGACATCAAATTTCAGTACTAGTTTAAACTTTAAGTACATGTACATTTGTGCCAGACTCCACTTTTTTTTTACTGACTGCCTAGCTAACTGATAGTCCATATAGTCATGCACATGAAAAAATTTTTTATTAAGGTTTGTTATACTTTAAACACTTTTTAAAAAAAGTACGTTTTTTATTTATTTTTTATTACCCAGCGGATGATCATCAAAATAAAAGCAAAACTAAGTCAATTGAATGGGAAGATGCTAATAGTAATGAGGATGATGAGGAATCTAGACAAAATACACAACCTCCTACTAAATCAACAAGTTCCATAAAAACAAAATCAAATGATAAATCACTGAGTATACAATCTAATCCTAACTTACAATATGGTGAAGTCGGTGTTGCTCTACTACGAAATTCTAAATTATCGGTGTGTCGCATTTTCTTTTTGCTTAAAATTAAATAGCTTCTTGATGATTATTATCGTGATTATTTACTCGGTAATTGATTAGTTAGCGTGCCTTTTTTACAAACGGTTGTAGTAAAGGAAGTATGCATCATTGCAAGTTAGCTCCGGATAGGATGTTAATTTTATTTCATGATTCAGTATGTACTAGAATTGTGAATTAGACTATACAATCTGAATAAACAGAAAACGGCCATTAAGTCATACAACAAAGCAAATCGATTCAATCGCTTAACCATTACAGTTTCAATCTATTAATAAGATTAGCATTTTTTGCTTCTCTGTTACTATACTTATTAAATTATCGCTACGAACAATTATATTATCAGCTTTCGTCGCAAAAATTCCAGTATATATTTGCCACTGTACAGCATTGGGAATGGTTTTGCTGAAAACAGAATGTTTTGCTGAACCAATCTTTCTTGTTTTACAATCAAAGTTCTAGTGCATAGCTTGTTTATAATGCTAATTACCTAAATGTGCTTCAAGGATCTTACGACTTCTGTTAGATTTTCAAGAATAATTACTTTCTCTTAACTCAGGTTTTTTCCTTAGACTTCAATATTTATATCGGAATCTTACTGTTCCATACTATATAATATCATAATCATCTCTATAATTCTTGTTTTGCGTATTTGTCGGTTACCAAAATATTATCTCAGTTTCTTCACATCTTGTTAAAAAAGGATAGTACATAAAACTTCAAATTTCTGTCTTGAAAACTATTATACCTAGCGGCGCTTCAAAAGTTTTGATATTCAGATAATTTAAACGTTATCTTTTCCAAGTATTTTATACACACACAGTGATAGATTTACTTAACTGTTGATGGTTTGTGTTAAAATTCTTAGAATCTGTTATAATTTTAGAACCATCATAATACTTATTATTATCATTAAATATTTGTAGTAATCTCTTCCTTTCTATATCACATTGATTTATGGCGTTAAGTTGACAAATGAGAATAGTGTCATTGTCATTATTCAAACACCACTCTTTAAATCGAGGTAATCATGTAACTTCCATGTAAAATAATAATGTTGTATTTACCAAGAAAGAAAAAGTATTCGAAGAAGATAAATATATTTCCAAATGCTTATTTTGACTGGTTAAATATGCAGTCTGCTCATGAGATTTATTACATTTACTTTATATTAATTATGCTTTAGTTACATAATCAAGCTTTTATTCATTGCGTTTATTAGGAAATTCATTAGGTAATACTGTAAAGTAGATGAATGATTTTAAAAAAAGACAGTTTCATTCTATCTTGCAATAATTTTTTCTTTAGAATTCATCAAAGGTTTTCAATTTCGACCATATACACAATTAGAATACTAAATGATTAATGAAATAATATAGTTACATTTAAAAAATAAAGTTCATGTTTAATTCTTCAGTTTTTTTTACATTTCTATGAATTATATTCATACAGTACAATATATGTAACAGTTTAAAAAGGATTTTTATTATATTATTGTCATCATTATTCTTTATTATATTGTGGTTTAAATACAGATTACAAATTTCACGGTCTTTAAAACTTGAATGAAAATTTCCATTTTCTTAGTAAATTTTTAATTTATATTGTTGCATAATCTATTTAATACTGGTGAGTAAAGAATGCTTCAAGACAATCGAATCGCATTTTATATATTCAAGCCAGTGACTTTAGCATCAACAACAATATACTAGTGTCAATTCAAATGTAATTCAAGCTGCTTTTTTTCAATTTCATTTATTATTTTGTTTTTACCGGCTATGTATTGATGCAGTAACTAAGACCAGATCATTCATTTCTATCGGGAGATCAATCAGTAACAATATACTAATATTCGTTTCCAGTTGACGTACGTTGACAATGCAAAAATAGGGATAACTTACTGCATTTTATCCTTTTTTCTCTAAAATTAATTTGTTTTTCGAAAATAATTTGCTGGCTAATGTTTTTTGTACCTCTTCTCTGTTCATAGACTTCAGATCTTAATTTGTTCTACACATTATGTCAACCGAAATTAGATATTCATGAAGTTAAACGTCTTCTTAATGAAGTGAGTATTTTATTCACAATATTTAATATCAATTCAATTTAATGTTAAATGAGATTTTCGATTTATCATTGATAATTCACAAATTGTAACAAAAATTTTATATCCAATGTTTCAAGTGATGTAGATATTTATGTTCTATCTTTTTACCAATAAAAAATTACAAATATTTAACTATTTATTGGTGGTAAATTAACCATTATTTATGCTGGTAGATTTTCATCAATATGATCCAGTCTTATATATGATGAATAATTTAGTCAGAAAAACAATTAAAATCCACATTGGCATACATTTTAACATAATCAAGTATGTTTTAGCTAATCTTTTGTTTAATATTAAATTGGAGTGCGGGTTGTAGGGTTTAAATCCAAGTAGAAATGGACAAGCAACAATGTATATTCTCTTTATCACTTATTATATTTTGATTTTAAGTATTTCTAAAATGTATTGTAACAATTTAGAAATGTCGGTTTATAAATCAGAAGTCTTATATCTTTTTGTTGTTTATATTCAGGAGTGAATTAATCATTCTCTGTTGATATACAAACTTCTTTAATAAATATATGTAATAGATGTCTGTATTTACTAGTTTATTATATAGTGTTTAAAAGTAGAATGCAGGAAGTATGCTTTAAGACTCGTTAATCGATTGCATCTACATTCTACTGTTGCTATTCCTCACTCTGACTCCAGCTTTATTCCCTATCACTTTAAATGTAGGGGTCTCATTCACTAGACTAAATTCACAACTAGTCAAAAGGTTATAAAATGGGTCATTCATTTGAGGCTTCTTTTTCTTGTCGTGAATATTTAGAGCTAAGTTTATTATTCTCTTTTGGCAATATCAATATTTATTTACATAAACTTGTTCATTATATTTCATCAAGGACTAACTTTAGTTTAACAGCCATCATAAACCACGAAGCATTTGATAGTTGTTTCATCCCGAATATGGGAATCCTTAGTTGTTTCACGTCCACGACCCAACCGGGGATCGAAATTAGAACCTTTAGGTCTTGTTGCGAGCACTTAACCTTAAAACCACTGACTCAGCACCTAATGTTTAATCTGTTCAACTTTAGCAATTCACGATAGTGTACGATTCTTATTGATTGTAAATTCATGAGATTCGTCTTATACACAACACGGTTGAACTTTTAACTGAGCACAGCTCCACACCAGCACTCAGAAAATTACCCTTAGAAGTTCGTCACTAGTAATCATAAGGTGATTCTTCATTATGATTCTAAAGTGAATTACTTATGTATAACTTATTTGTTAATTAAAGTTTTATATCCTCAATAGTGATCGAAACATTATTTTTGTGATAGGTTTACGATACTGTCATTCAAATGATGAAAAGAAATTAGATTTTGCTGTCTTCAAACATGTAACCTAATCATTGAAAGTTGATTGGTTAAGTCACTAATTCTGTAGCATACTATTGCCAATCTAGGATTTAATATAAATATTAATGATATACTGAAAGTATGTTATTAAGTATATGTACAGACCAAATTAATTAAAGTTCACAAATGGACTTTAAGTCTCCGGGCTTAGAAAAAATGCCAGTGAAAGATGTGTTGTAAGTATACAAATAGTTGTTATGAATACTTACTTAAACATAAGCACTTCGTTTTTGGTTATTTTATGAAAAAGAAAGCTATTAAAATGAAGTAAATATCAGACACTAAAAACCGTTCTTAGATTTGTTTGTAAGTCGGTCTGTAGGTATTGAATAAAAGCAGATAATAATCGAAAATATCTTTAAAAAAATACTAACAATTTAATCAAGTTCAACGTATCATTATTCATATTTTAGGCGTTCACTTCTACTTGAAGACTGTAAGACAATTACTTTTACTGTTTTTTTTCTTACTGATTTCTGCTAATAATCAACTTGACCATTCTTTTTTATCATATTGTCCAAAGATGATATGCTTCCTTTTTTTATGTACATATTTCTCTTTACTCTTAGATCTGTGTTAAGTTCATTTTCGTAGTAAATTACGCCTACGTTTATTTAACGTAAAGCATACGATAAGCTCAATATAAAAATATTTTTTATACACCTATCCTAGGCAAGCGGTCGTTTATTACGGTACAGTAACTACTTTTAAATCAAACGAATTAATAATAAAAAACTTGGTGGAAAATAACCAGTTGATTAGAATATCAGTTTGAACTCCTAGTTATTTTGTACTCAAGTAAATTTAACCTCACATTTTTTTCTATTGAAAGAAGTTGGATTCAACCTTAGACAAAATCTATTATTTGGGAATTTCAGTGCTCAACAAATATTCCCCGTATGATTATGGTAACAAGTTGGACATTAAGTCAAATATGTGGAGATTTTGCAATCCATCGGACTTAAGATATGCTGTTTATTTGACTTCCGAAATATACTGATAGGCTTGAGTTATTCCCCTGAATAATGTTGTTTAGTGGTTTACTTTATTCCTATGCAACTTCTGAAACCTATCGTAATACATAATACTCAATTGATGCATTTAATATATCATCTTAAATTTTGTATTTGTCGAATTAACTAACTTCCTTGTTCATCACCATTTTTTTCATTCAATAAAATAGGGTGCAAATCCGAATTGTATTAATGCTGCTAAAGAAACACCATTAATTTGTGCTGTACGTCATGGCTTCGTTGAAGCGATATCTGTACTAAAAGAAAATGGTGCACAGGTTAATGCTACCGGAACATCGTAAGCTGAATAATTTATATGTACTTCGTTTAAGTTTATTGCAATCTACCGATATGTCCTTACTATTTAGTTTTGACGACCTTTAATAGTAACTTAGGGGGACACAAGAACCGTTTTTTGTATTTGTCGTCTATTAAAAAAGAAGACTGAACATATTTTTAGTTCTTAAGGGACTTTTAATGGTTCCCTATTTTTCAACCTACTTGTACAATTTTATCACTTCTCCCTTTTCACATAACTTCATGAACTGACCTACAGGAATACACACATTTGGGAAACCAACTTCAAGGAATGGGAAAATGAGAGTCAGTCAAATATCACTAAGTAATTTTTCATGGAATCAATCTGTTTTGTATTTAACATAACATTCCCACTACCTTAAATAGACAAAAATCAATCTCATAATGTGAGATGACTGGTTGCCGACCAATTATTTGCCTATTATTACAACACCCCTGCAGTACGTCTAGATAACTAAATGTTACAATAATATTATCCACGTGTAATAAGAATATCTTTTAAAAATAATCTAGTGTTTTCATAGGTCGTCGGAGTTAATAACTGATATTAATACCTAATTTTTTTCCATTAACACTAATTTTCCGAATAAACGTTGGCTACCAATCAATAATTCGATTGAAAAATTCATCTAATGGATCGCTTATGAGAATATATTGTCATAGTGATTAAACTGAATAGTTAGGTTTAGTTTGGCGTCTACAATAACAACCTTGACGGCTACACATGACTTTCGTGTCATTATAGATATGCATATGCTGTTTCACAATACTACTACTGTTGAAAACATTAGTCATTACAATATGCGCCTTTACATTAACTACAAATGTTTTCATTTTTGACATATATTATGTTGTGTGTCTGTATTCTCTCGCTGTTTTTCTGTCTAACATTCAAATTATTAGTGACTATATTTCTATATTTTTATTAATCGATAAAGAGTCAGCTGCTATCTATGTATAAATATTCCCTTTGAATTGTCTAAATCGTATTGCTATACCTAGACTTTCATTTTCCTAGTGAAATATGACATGATTTATAATAATAGTTACTGAGTAAAAGATTACTTAGAAACAAAATGAACTGCGTTTAAAAATGCCATAGATTTAAATTATTAAATGTTTATTACTCATTAAACAAAGTGTGCAATTATTTATTTTATTTATTTAAGGAACACATGATTAGAATTTATGTTTACAAAGTTAATTTGCTCTCACTTGGATCTCCCCTAAATAACTCTTATTTATTTTAATGTCAGTGCTAGTGTAACATTCAGTCAATCTTTTTATATTACACCATCTTTCCTGTCTCAATTTCATTTTTTTATTATCACTATTTTTTGACTATTTATATAAAGATAAGTGTTTTACTAAATGTCTTATTATTATGATAGAGATATTGGGATATGAGTGTTGTCTTCATTGTGATGTAGGTAAATCTTATTACTAGCGCTATATTCGCTTGATCCAGAAATTTCATTCTATAAAGTAACTGAATGGAAAAGGAGTGATGTTTCACTTGAAATAAATGTCCACAAAATCTATTAGTTTATTTAGATTATCTCATGATAAATCTAAAACACCGTTCTAGGAAAAATATTAAAGACAACAGTAACATTGTTTTGTGTTGGGAGAAACACACTAGACCTAGTCAGTACCAATACTGATACTATCCTATAAGAACACCCAAATTTACGTAATAAGAACACATGAATAGACAGTTTGCAATTGATTTCTTCCTTTCTTTTGCCTTTCATAGTTTTTGTCTTCTCAAGAAAAAAAATATTTCCATAAAAATCGTATTTCTATTCCAAAACGGAAACCATATCCTCTGTTAGTTCTTTTTAAGTTTGGTGTTCGGTTTATTTAGTTTTCTTTTATTGCATACATCCCACACCATAGACAATAAAGTAACAATCACTGTCTTGCAGATGGCTGCTAGTTGTTTTTTTATAATTAGAAACGTTTGCTGCTTAAAGCGTTCCAATCTAAGCACAATATGTTTGATATTGTTAATTATTGCATCTAAAACATCGTCATTTGTACTCGTGCCATTAACAGTTATCTGTCGGAGTAAATTCTATCATGAATCGCATTTGACACTGTTTCTGACGCTGATATAAGTACAGTTAGTACTAAATAATATCTATATTCATAACAAAAGTCAGTTCAGCTACTGCTGTAGAGCTAGTTACATAAGGCACCCTTTCAGTTCATCATCATATCACCGAATACTATCCAGCCTGATTGAGCAGAGGGCAGTTAAAACCGATTAGGAATTATATTGATTGATGTAGGCCGACAAATTGACTTGAATAGGACTTTCCAAGTCATCTACCGAAATCTTACTCAGCTTTAATCTTTTTTCTTACGTAACCACTATAAGTTTTTGCAGAGATTGTTGAATTTTCAGTTTACATCATGGACTGATCTTGATCATTTCTGTAAATTATATATATATATCCACAGTGAAAAACTAATTGAATGAAAATACTTCTTTGCTTTATTCCTCTTTTTATTAAATGTCTGGATGGGAATTTTCACATTAATAAGATCAAAATGACACATTTGACTAAAGAATTGGTAAATGCAATAACACTGTACTCGCTATTAGTATTATTTCATTAACCTATTTCTCTTTGAAATGTCAGATTAGGCAACACTGCATTACATGAAGCAGTTCTGCGTGGCATTGACGGATTAGAATTGGCAAAAGAGTTATTAAGGTAAGTTGGATGCGCATGAACTTTTGATGTCATTGTTTTTTGTTCAGTAAGCTATCCAGTGCGAAAATCTAGCTTAATGAGATAAAGTTGAGTAAGCGTATTCTCATTATGATGAGAGTCAGACACTATTTTTAATTAATGAAGTGAAATTAAAGCATACACAGTATTAGGATCTTATCGCCCAATCGGGTAGACCATCGGTCTGAATCTTCAGAAGCTGTTGGTCAAGATTCATGCTTTATTTGTAATTTCAATATATCAGGTATCGGTCTTTTAACTAAAAATATCTAAAACAATCAGTTTATTACTAGTATTCAAATGTCCTAACACTGCTTCTAACTGGCATTTTTTGAAGATCGTAATTAAAGGTATTTGGATTACCACGCTGTACCTACGTACTGAGTTATTTTATAACCAACTGACAATAAAACCCCTTCGACTACTTTTAACTCATGATTTAAAAATATCATTATGAATTTTTGTGTTTCCACCAATCCCTATGAATTGAAGATGCTTTTTGTTATGTGAAGAAAATCATTTTTTTCCAAATAGTTAGTTTTAACAACTTTTTTTGTCCAAAAAACGTTTTTCATTATTGTTAGCCGGAAATCACTGGAAAAAATGAAAAGTTTGGTAAACTCTTCTGTTTTAATGCTGAACTTCACAACAGTGCGAATTCTTTGATCCCCCATCAATCTTAAATCTCAATTCGACCAGCCTGAGTCTAATGTCTGATATTTTATATTATCGGATGGTTTCAGATGACTACTAGAAGTCTCAGTGTCAAGGTGTAACTGAATGGGCCAACCCATTTGTGAATGACAAAAAACCTTTGCTGAATACTCTAGAACAATTTTTTTTTAAAGATTTTATTCCAAATAAGTTTTTATTTCCGTATTTAATTCTCATTAGATCTGGTTCTTACTTATGTAGCGTTTTCTCGAATTAGTTACTGCACATCTTTTCCCCCTCTTATTTATGATTACCTTCTTTCTTTCCTATTTTCTACATAGATGTGGTGCAAATATGAAAATAGAAAATAATCGTAAAGAAACACCACATTCACTAGCGTTACATTCGAATTGTGAACCGTTAATACGGCTGTTCGCTTTACATTTAGGTCAGAAACAATTGAAAGAACTCATGGATTATGATACTCCAGGCGAAGCTGACTTGAAATTGAACAATCGTCTAGATATAGTATAATCAACATCATAAATACGTAGATTATCCGTTTCGTATTTATGTTTATGCTACCCAGTGTTTTATTATTTATTTCTCAAAAGTAACCCAACCCACATATCTCTATTACAGTGAGATACACATCATTGTGACTCGTTTTTACCTTACATAAATTTTCTTATTCATAAGCTTATTATATAATCTTAGCAGAAAAATCGCATATATATTGTATGACTACACTTATTCGAGGGATAAATTTAATCTACACCTCGCTCACTATTCAATATAGGATCTCATCGGTGTTTATAGCAATGAAATTCTATTATGAATAATATTAGTAAAACCATTCAGGTTTTTTTTTCTAGATAAAGCTTTAATATTCAAGAGTAATGGTCTTTTTCAGTTTAATAGTACAGAAAAACGACAAGTGATAATTGAACATCTCACTACTTCAGTGACTACCTAAGATCTAGAACATTATAGCATACATAGAAGACAGATTTATAGATTTCTTGACACAAATTCAAACCGTCAATGGCTTAAACATATATCGATCGTGGATCAGCTTAACAAAATGACCCCAAATGCCCTGGTATGGCCGAGAGCGGGGAGGGTTCGCCCTCCCTCTCGAAATACTCTCACATGGCCACGCGTATATAGCCTCTGCCAGGGAAGTCCTACTCACTGCCTTCTCGTGGCCGGGGTGTTGCTTACGAAAATGAGAGGACGAAAAGCGAATGTCCGGCGCTATAACCGGATCCCAATTCAATGGTGCACATGGGCTCCAGTATCCTGAGGGAACAAATGGAGTATGAATCAATCGTTGGTCACCGGCTACCATGGGACTGCATCTCCTCACGATGCTCCACTGCCTTGTGGACTAGACCTTTAGGTCAAAGGCTCGGGGTGTGGCCCCCTAAGAAAACCACCTGCTTCGGTTTGGGCACCCGGGCAGTATCTCAGCCCACGCACTAAAATCATGATGAACAATTTGCTTATGGAAAATATTCCCTTCTCTCTGATTAACATTGAAATGACTCGTACTATTATTATTATTATTATTATTATTATTATTATTATTATTATTATTTTACCACGTCATTTATTCACCCTCTCTTATACCTACTTTATGTATCCGTTTCGATCTAGACAGCAGCTCGCCTATGGTGAAAATTCAGCTTTATCTAAACGTTCTCGAGTCACTGCCTGGTTGAAAATTGTACGTTACCACCGAATATGAGTACTGAAGCAGTTTTTCTGAAACCACGTGCACCATGCAAACTGGCTGCCTTCAACGTTCGCACACTTATGCAGGTCGGACAACAGATAGGGCTGGCTATGTCTTTGGAAAATCTTAATATTGACTTGTGTTGTCTATCCGAGACCCGTATTCAAGACTCTGGTGAAGTACTACAAGTTCGCTCTCCATCTGTCACTTCAAAAAGCTTGTTTTACGTGCGTTTATCCGGGGACCCTGTGGCATCTTCGTCTGGTCTTGCTGGCGTTGGTGTTGCACTAAGCGCTAGAGCTGAGGCGGCACTAGTCGACTGGATCCCCATTAACAGTCGGTTATGTGCTGTTAGTTTATAAAGTTCCATCAAAGTGAGAAGAAATCGGCGTGAGAAACGATGTCTTTTCGTCATCTCCTCCTATGCCCCGACAGATTGCAGCCCGGATGCAATCAAGGATGAGTTCTACCACCAGTTAACTGTTCTTCTCCAGAAAGTGCGCTCGACAGATATTGTAGTACTAGCCGGAGACTTGAATGCTCAGGTCGAGCGTCTAGGCACAGAAGAGAGTCGTTTAGGTGGCCGATGGGAACTTGTTGGTCGCAGGACAGATAACGGGGAACGTCTACTGCAACTGTGCACAGACCACAACCTGTTTCTGGCTAGCACTAACTTTCGGCACAGTCATCGCCGATGTGCCACCTGGCGTCCCCCTTCTGCATCTCAAGCCTGGACTCAGATTGATCACATCGCGATCAGCTACCGCTGGCGTGGTTGTGTACAAGACTGCCGCTCATTTTGGAGTACCTATCTGGAATCTGATCATGTCCTGGTCTGCGCCAATCTGACCTTACTTTTCAGTGGACAACAAAGTGACCGCCACCAAAATAATTGACGTTAGCAAGCTGGTTGCAACTTCTGTTGCTAGTAATCACCGAACCGAGCTAGCTTCTAGGCTAGCTACTATTCCACCGAAAAGTATAGATGAGCATTGGTTGCAATTGTATGACGCCATGAAAATGGCGGGTCAAGTCAGTTGTGGGTTCGCGAAACGTCCCGCTTACAAGCACTGGGTTTCTTCTGGTTCCTTACAACTGATTGAAGCCCGTCGGTCTACTCCGGGTGACCGTGAGTTTGACCACAAACGAAGGATGTTACGTAATGAAATCGGGCAAAGCTTGCGTAAGGACCGTGAAGCCTGGTGGTCGGAGCGTGCTAATGAGCTGGAAGCAGCAGCTGCATCTGGTAATTACCGGAAGTTATCCAGCTCATCCGAGCCACTGGCAGCAAGAAGTTTGGTGTGAGCGAAACAATCTGTGGGGATGACGGGATGCCGATCACTAACATCCATCGACGTCTTGGACGATGGGCAGAATTTTTCGAAGAGCAGTTTAACTGACCTGCTGCTCCGGCAACATCGATCAGACTGTCCTGCCCTCCATGGCCGGTGACGACTGATCCACCAAACTAGGCGGAAGTCCGCAAGGAACTCCAACTCTTGAAACGTTACAAATCACCGGGCCCAGACGACTTACCTCCGGCTCTTTTTAAAGATGGTGGTGACTTTCTGACTAAGGGACTGACGACGTCGTTTACAAAGGTCTGGGAACTAGCGTGTGTACCAACGTCATGGAATGAGTCGATAGTTGTCCCTATCTTTAAAAAGGGTTCACGTTGTTCCTGTAACAACTATCGGGGGATAAGTCTACTCTCGATTGCGTCCAAGCTACTGGCTTCCGTTATACTACGTAGGTTGTTCAAAACCCGAGAAGGATTGACTCGCGAGGAGCAGGCTGGTTTTCGTTCTGGTCGAGGATGTATTGATCATATCTTCACCCTCTGCCAAGTGTTAGAACACCGCCATACTTATCAAAGGCCAACAATAGTAGTGTTTCTTGATATCAGGGCTGCCTTCGATTCGTTGGACAGAACTGTTCTCTGGGATTGTCTATTGAAGAAGGGTGTGCCTGAGAAGTTTATTAACATCCTAACAGCCCAATACACAAACACCTCAGGCAGAGTGAGGGCATACAACCACCTTTCTCCACTATTCCATTCAAGCAGTGGAGTTAGGCAGGGTTGCCCAATCTCACCATTCCTCTTCAACTTTGCCATCGATGACATTCTGGAAACAGCTCTGACGGATGTATATAATGGTGGTGTGGATCTGTTGCCTGGAGAAAGATTTCTCGACCTTGAGTATGCGGATGATATTGTCTTACTGTGCGAGAATGCCCAAGCCATGCAATCCGCACTTAATCAGTTGGCAATCAATGTCCGTAGGTATGGTATGTGTTTTTGTAACTTTGAAGTGCAAAGTACTTCTACAAGACTGGCGGGATTCTAATCCTGTGCTCACTCTGGACGGTGAGCAGATAGAAGTAGTCGAGAAGTTCGTGTATCTAGGTAGCTGCATAAGTGCTGGTGGTGGCGTGAGCGACGAGATCAATGCACGTATAGTGAAACCCAGAGTGGCTTATGCCAATCTGGGCCACCTTTGGCGCCTTCGTGATGTTAGTCTGGCTGTAAAAGGTCGGATCTACAACGCGACGGTGAGAGCAGTTTTGCTCTATGCTTGTGAAACCTGGCCTCTCCGAGTTTAGGATGTTAGACGACTCTCTGTGTTCGATCATCGCTGTCTCCGAAGGATTGCTGGCATCCAGTGGCAACACTATGTCAGTAATGCAGAGGTCCGGCATCGTGTGTTCGGGCACAGAGACGATAATGAAATTGATGTCACCATCTTGAAACACCGACTTCGGTGGCTTGGACATGTTCTACGAATGTCGTCCCAGAGAATTCCACGTCGTGCATTATTTGCAGACTCTGAGTCTGGTTGGAAAAAGCGGAGAGGTGGTCAGTATATGACATGGTGTCGTGGTATGAAAGAAAGCTGCAAAGGGCTGGCTTGTGTTGATCCTTCACGACTCCCTGGCTGGGGTCCGAGAGATGGTGTTACACATTGGCTAGAGACGTTATCAGATATGGCCCAGAATAGAAGCCAGTGGCGATCCTGCTGTAAACTTCTTTTACTTTCTTCATAAAAAGTGGTTGCTTCTTCCTTAACTGTAAGATTTTCTCTGATTGTACACTTTCGTTTCCCCCATTATTGTTCTCTCTTTTTTTTATAACTCTCTACGTTCCTTACCTCTTTTTTTCCTTTCTCTTTAAATTCTCATTGTTTTGTGTGGCGCATATATATTTGGTGCCCCCCTGTACCAATATTTATGTGTTCAAATAAATAAATAAATAAATGTTGAAGGAAGGCTGTATTGAACCTTTGTAACGCTGTTTCCCCAGTTGTCCGAATTGATGGATTAGTGATGAAAAATCTATTTTTTCATTCCTTATAATATTGTTTTACCTAATCTTGAGATCGCGCTTAAACATTCAATTATTAGTCCTACTCCAAGTATGTTGATGAAGCATTATCATTGATATCAATCAAAAACATACGTTCCAGTTGTGCATCACTGTTCATCGAAACAAATAAAAACAGTTTATCTCGGAACGAGGTCCCACTTTTTTGATATAGTGATACAATGAAGATCAGATGGCAAAATTCAGTGTTTAATTTATTTTAAGAGTACGTATAATGGATTACGCATGGATTTTGATAGCCTTGATTTAGTCAATTACAAAGTAACAGTGGTTTAATGTAGTTAGCATGTAAAAATATTTAAGATATAATCGAAAAAACACAATAACTAAAACCTGTATTGTAGCTAAATTTATCATCTTCTTTAGCATAATCATATGTTAACTGGTACCCCTCTCAGTTTACATCTAATTGTA